AGGTTAGAGTATACAATCAAAGATTTTGATATACCAAGATATATTAGAAACGCTCTGGCAGGCAGTTCAGGACTGTTTTCATTTTTTTCATTTTATTTGTCCTTTCACAAACATTTGTACATAGGATTAAAAAAAAAAACAGAAACAGCAGATTATCAATTTAACAAACATACATGTAATTTGAAGTGCAATATTAATATGCAACATACAACTCTTGTCATTATTAAATAAATTCTATACAAATTTACTGATGTACACTGTAAGATCATGTTCTGTAAATGTAAGAAAGAGGAGACCTTATAGATATGTGCTCAAAACTAGGTCAAAACAATTTATAAATTTATCTGTATCTTGGAATACTGATCTCTTTTTCTCCCATCTCTTTGTATTTATTGTATAAGAAGTTCCTAGGAGGTGTTAGTTTGTCTAGTGGTAATATTCATGGTTCGGTCAGCTCTCTGTCTCCGCCTACAAACTGACCCAGGCGGACCCTGGTTCAAGACTGAGTCACGTCTTTTGGATGATGACGTTTGATGTCGGTCCCTAGACTTAAAACAATCATTACTGATTGATACAGGTCTGTAAAAACCCAAATTACAAGGGCATATTCAGTCAGAATCCTATCCCTCCAAAAAGATGGAAGATTATAACTCTTCCTAAGCCCAGATTGCTCGTCTAGGAGTAAGGCATGTGCTTTAGGCTTCAGCCCCAGCGCTATTTCTGTCGCAGGGAGCTTTAACCGTTGGTACGCATGAGCTCATACCTTACGTCATTTGTTGGCAGTGGGACTGCGCAACGCTGCTCTTCATTTGTCACTGTGTTTTGAACTGGATAGCAAGTCTCCAATCCAGTCTGCTGAAGCTAATTTCTCTTGACTTTAGTTCTTCTTTAATGGAGGTTCTTAACATCAAGTTTCTTTTCCTGTTCCTCTGAAAGGGTTGGGGCGACAGATGCTATGCTAGTCATTTTCTCCAAATCTTGACTTTTTCTTGTGGAAAATATTGTTTTTACTTCAGCCAAATGTTTTTGCGGGTTTCCAAATGTTGGTACTTTCCTTCTCAAAAATTCCTGAGCATTGTGTGTTGCAGGTGATACCGAAAGGACCTTTCTAGCTTGCCTGGAAGTTTTACGTGCTAGAGAAACGCTGTGGGTGCCAATTTTTCTTGTGGAATATTTGACAGCCAAAGTCTCATCGCAAACATGGTCAACATGTCTGCCATCCACCTCCTGTACCGTAAGGACAGGCCTACTCATCGTGATTACAAGCTTTTTAAGGTACCTTTGATTTGATTTGGGACAGAATTCTGAAAAAGTATAGATTTTGGCTGCTCCCCTTGTTTTGTATCGTCACAGAACAATATGTTATTCAGTGGAACTAATTCCAACTGAATAAATAGCATTTTTCTTGGAAACAGATTTTGTTTTAACAGATTTCTATTCAATAGCTTTCTGGGAGATATCCTTGTAGACAATTATGATAAAATGTATCAAGTATAAACAAAACAACTTTGTATCCATTAAAAACAGGATAAACCCTGTTGTTGATATACAAGTTGGTATGGGATATGGCATATCGAAAATGGAATATGGAATATGTCTTACATGTATTAGAATAATATAGATTTTAATATATAGGAGATACAATGTACATGTGCACTATTTCTTAATTTTTGTCTAAAAGTAATAAATCTGGGCCTATATTCATGACATCTAACCTGAGCTAGTTCTCAACTATTAAATAACAGAGGCTTTAGTACATTCATGTAGTTAGCTGACAACTTGATGCCCTGGTCTTTCGTTGCAGTTTGCATCACACAATTTTGTCTGGCAAACTATGTTCAAAACAATGTTCTAGTTCAAATACAAAAGCTTTAAAATCTTTCTTTTTATCATAGAGCTTGTCATGATTGACTTATTAGAACTGCATTGAGGGGATAGCAAAATTTGGTACAAAATGTTTGTTGAATAATACTTCCATATATTCCCCCTCCCCCTGAAGCTAAATTGAGTATTTTTCTTTAATTTGTGTATATCTCATATTAAAGTTACATCTTGCCCTTAATTTTTGGTTTTATTTTTATTTTGACTTTTCATGGATGATGTATTTCAAACTTAAGATTGTCAATTTCTGGGGGTTATTTTTCACCCTACTAGTACTGTAATACTTCTTTTCAATTTAAGAAAAAAAACCTTTCACAAGATCTTTCGCATTTACTGTGCCATCGGCACAGTTCAACTGCCCATGTTGTTGGTGCAACGCTTTGGAAAAGATCTAGAAAATGTTGACCCTCTTTTTCTTCAGTTTTCCAAATGTGTGGAGTTTAGAACAATATTAGATCAAGCAAATAATGAAAAAAAAAATGCACGATTTAAAACCGTGTCATGAAATGTTTAAAAATGAAATTATATTTCAAAACTTTGTGGCACATCAGTGTTAACTAGTGTGAAAGGATTTACATGTTTTTATCTTCCCCAACTTATCTTCTTAATGACCAGCGTTATCGGAGTGAAAGACTTTCATCAATTATTTTTCTTGCAAAAACACTTATCATATTGCAGAAAAGTTTCACTGGTGGACTTAAGTTTGGTGTAATGAAATATCTTTATCGATTGATTGATGAAGCTTGCCAATTTCCTGTAATGTGTATCGAGTTCACTTGCTGGATTACAGGTCAGATTCACTTGCCCAGTGCAAAGTACACTAGTAGGGAAGGGTAAAAAGCTTGGTGTTATTTAAAAAATATAGTTCATCATTTTTGTTTTATTGTTAATGTTTCTAAGGGTTCAAACATAAGGCAGTGTCACACAGAGGCCAAAAATCTGGATTTTAGTTATCCTCTTTAATTGCTGTCTGTCATCAATTCTCGCTACCCTAAATAGGTACGAAAATCTCGAAATTCGCGAGACGAGGTAATTTTCACTCTCTCGGGTCGTCACTACAACTTCCGGTATAGAGTCCCATCCCACTGGCGCTAGCGCCTGTGTTCGCTGTGCAGAGTTTTCACGCACGCTAAAATCGATGCCAATCAGTGTAATTTGTACAGATTATAATATATGCATTAAATTTAGTTTGTTTTTATTCAATTTGAATATACAATAAAAAGCAAAAAATAGTTTACAGGAAAGATTTTATTTTTATTCATGTTTTTTTTCTATTAATCTAAAAGTTAAAAAAAAATAATTGTCTTAAAATTGTGCATGTAGCGACCAGCGTCACAATCATGAGCAGACGATACAGTAAACAGTGTAGAGACAACACTCAGTTCATGTATTTCTCGTCGACCACAAAATGGATAAAAAAACAGTTTCGGAACTTAAAAAAATCTTAACGGACAGAGGAATACCATGCAATGGAAAGCTTCGGGCAGAATTAGTGACTTTAGCACAAAAGGCCGTTAAACTCTACCGTGAAAGAGAGGGTTGTGATCACGAACTGGGAAATTTCACCCAAGTCACGGCCTTCATCCACCCCCATTTTTCAGGGTTCTTACGCTTGGAATCATGAGCCCAGCACTGTGCAGCCTCACAAAAGAAAACCATCGTCACTGATGTCAAAAGACGCAAAAAACAACGAATGAAATGTTCAAATAAACGTTGAAATATTTGCGAAAAAAAACAAGACCGAGCAGACGACATATTCGGTGCATACACGTTGTGTGGCGACGGCGTTTTACGTTTGCGCTATCGCGCCTAGTAATATAGCGCCTGCACAGGAAGCTGTAATGTCGAAAAGCTATCCCATAATGCAATGCGCGTTTTCAGGATTTTCCCCGGATCTCGGCAGAATCGCTATTTGGGGTAGCGAGAATTATCTCATTAGAAATCCTCTAACGAAGCAAGAAAATTCTCCCTTGAAAGGATTTTTTCTGTGTGACACCACCTATAGTGGTTTCACTCTGACATTTTGAATCCATATCCTTGAATGGAATGTTTGTACTTTCTTTTCTGTTATGGGTGTTAAATATTCATGGGTATCAGTACTCATCTGTCAACAGTGTACCTGTTTTAATATCTACTTTTCTTTTATTACTTATCACTCCCTTTTACTCTTCTTTCTCCCTTCGTTTCTTTAATTGTTCACTTTCTCTGATTCCTCTCTCGTCAACTCTTCCTCTGTTATCTTGTCTCTCATTCTTTACTCCTCTTCTCTTTCTCTTTCTCTCTCGTTATCTATTCTCTTTTTCTATTTTGCTCTTCTTTCTCTTTCTCTCTCTCTTTATCTCTCTTTATCTCTTCTCTCTTTTTATTTTCTCCTCTCTCTTTCACTTTCTCTCTCACTCTCTCTTTCTCTCTCTCTTTATCTATTCTCTCTTTCTATTTTGCTCTTCTTTCTTTCTCTTTCTCTCTCTCTTTATCTCTCTTTATCTCTTCTCTCTTTTTATTTTCTTCTCTCTCTTTCACTTTCTCTCTCACTCTCTCTTTCTCTCTCTCTCTTTCTCTTCTCTCTCTTTCTCTTCTCTATCTCTCTTTATCTCTCTCTCTCTTTCTCTCTCTCTTTTTCTCTCTCTCTATCTTCTCTCTTTCTCCCACCCCTCTCTCTCTCTCTCTCTCTTTTATTTTTACTCCAACTTTCTCCATCCCTCACTCCTTCTGCCTATTACTATTATCTATTTGTTTGCCTGCCTAACTATCTTTCTTTCTCTCTCTTCCCATTCCCCCTTTCCTTGCGTTATTTTTTGCTTACCTCTCTCATATTCTCTCTCTTTCTCTCTCTTCCTGCTTTCCCTTTCTCTCTTTCTCTTGTCGCTCTTTCTCTCTCTGTATCTTTCTCTCTCTCTCCCTCTCTATCTTTCTCTCTCTCTTTCTCTCCTCTTTTTCTTTCTCTCTCTCTCTCTCTCTCTCTCTCTCCCTCCCACTCTCTTTCTCTTGCTGTACCTCAATGATGTATCAATTTATTTGTCTGCCTACCTTTCTCTCTTTTTCTTCCCACTCTCCTTTTTCTCCTTCTTTATTTTTTGCTTATCTCTCTCATATTCTCTCTCCTTTTCTCTCCTACACAGGCCAAAGAGTTGGAGCTTGAGAGGACCCAGAAATGGTTGAAGATGGCCAAGAACTGGAAAAGATATTACTCAAGTGAAAAGGTATGTATCAATCATTGTCTTGTTCAGGTACGCTCCTCCGTATGAGGTTCTAAGACTCTAGGGGGTGTTTCACAAAGATCCTAAGCTGAACTTATCTCTAAGTTGGACTTATTTCGCATCTTTGAAAATATTTTGTAAAAGTTATTTGAAAAGGCATAAAATGTTGATTCAAATCATTCATATTTTCTATTATCAAGGAGATTTCATGTTCTTGATGTGGAATTTATGAAAATTCTAAAATACTTTTTTTACTTTATTACTTTATTTTCACTTTTTAAGATCTTTTATTATAAGGTTACAAATGGCTCTCCATTGTATTTAAGTCCAACTTCGAGTTAAGTTTGACTTTGGATCTTTGTTCGTTCGTTCGTGTCTCCTTAGATCAAGATTAATGTAATCTTGATCTTCGGAGTAGTTGCTACATCCGGCCGTGTCAGACATGTTGCCCCGGGGTGCGAGATAGGACTTTGTGAAACACCCCCTTGGTTAGATTGAAGAACTGCAAAGTAGAACTTTGAATTCTAAAAGAAAGTGGTTTCCTTTTTTTCCCAAGCTGTTTACCTAAAGGTTTTCTCCAGAGCTTTTTCATGCTTAAAAAAAAAAAAAATAGCCATAGCACTCTCTTTATATTATTTGTCCGTGTAAAGAGACTTTGTTCCTTTCAGCTGGAACATTAAACCTAAGCATGAATTGAGTTTGATAATTTTTTACATGAATTAACAGATGGTGTTTTTTCACAGGGTAGCTCCTGATAGATACAGACAGACAGACAGACAGACACAGAGAGAGAGAGATATTTAATCCAGTTTGTCATTCGTTAAACGGTAACATTTGTTTAAAGGAAGCTTCCGTCAAATTTCCGGCTTAATTAAACTAATTTTCATCAGCCAGAACAATCGCTTCTCAGCTCCGTTTGACAGGTTGCCAAAACTAAGCCTTTGACTGCCAGATGTTATCATGACTAGTAATGCTTTAAAGATGTAGTCTAGTTCCGATCTTGCAATTAGATTTTAAGAAAATAGCTTAATTAATAAAATTGTGCAGGAAATTAATTATGTAACCATCTGTAATAGACTTTGTGTTTTAATACATATGCCTGCTATGAGGTTTTGAAATCGTCAAATTGATTAGAAATTTACTCAATATCAATTAAAAACACAGGAATGGGTATATGGGACTGCACACTCATACAACATGACTGGTTGGTCTAAACGCTTCAGCTATTGCTTGTCATATTCTGAATATAAGGCTTTTGAAAAGCAATTCCTTTTCAGGGGGTCATTATTTTTATTATTCCTTTCCATCAAACAGATACAGTCACACCTGCTTTAGAGCTCACCTGTATGGAAAGGCCACCTGTCTACAGAGACCACATTTTTTGTTTCCCTTGAAAATGGTTATCTCATTGAAAACATGTACTTAAGGAACCTGTACATAATGACCACCTGCCCATTAAGACCACTTTTCTTGTCTCCCTTGGGTGGTCTTTATAAACAGGTTTCACTGTGCAAAAATGATGAGAAAGCGCAGAAATTATCTTTTACCTTCACCAGAATTCAACCTTCTCTTTAACATAAAACTATAGGGGTTTGGTGATGGCGAGAGAAGAAGGGTTAAGTAGTTTAAGCATGCTATTCATGAGAGGGCCAGCCAAGGGAGAGTGCATGGAGAGGTCACATGTAGGATTCTTAATTAATATGGCACAGGGCCTAGTTACTCGTGTCTGATAGATACATGTAGATGCAGTGTTTATTTTGTTGGATCGAGTGCAATGTAAGATGCTTTTGTGATGTATACTGAGCTCACTCTTGCTTGCTCTTACAGTTACAGCCAAAGATGGCAAGATGTGGAGGAAGGAAGGGATAAAGAAGAGAGAGAGAGAGAGAGAGAGAGAGAGAGAGAGAGAGAGAGTAGAGAGAGAGAGAGAGAGAGAGAGATAAAAAGACAGAGAAAAGAGAGAGTGAGAAAGAGATAGAGAGAGAGAGAGAGAGAGAGAGAGAGACGCAGTTAAAGGAGAAAGAAAGGAGAGGGAGACAGAGACGGAGGAAGGAGAGAGAAAGGAGAGAGACAGAGAATGAGGGGGGGGGGGGGGGGTAGTTGTTTTGAGGTTTGTCATACTGGACTAGTTGTTCTTACACAGATATAAATACATACATATTGCATGTACGAATAGATGTATACTGAGAAAATGGATGGTAGGTAGAATGTTACATACTTAAAGTCAATATTCATGCAAATGAACTTATCCAACCGATAATATTTTGATCACATTCCAACAGAGTTTTAATGCTATGAGAGAGGCTGCATTAGTAGTGGCATAGTTGTATATCGACCACAATAATACACTTTAATGCGCTTTCTCGCTTAAACCGTTGATATACAGACACAAAAGAGCATGGTTTTACTATATTTGTGTGGTTAAAATGAGATTTTTAAATTTATAACAGAAGTTTTAAAGTAGGTAGAACTTGCCCTCCTAGTCTAGTCTTCGAATACAGTTTCTTTTTCTGTAAATGCAGAGAAGAACGTACATGTGCATTGTATGTATGTAATAATATGATTGCAGGGCCCTCAGGGAGAACAGTATTAATACTGATGAGGCTACCCTGGGTAAACAAGACATATTATTACAGTGAAACCTGTCTATAAAGACCACCCAAGGGAAACAAGAAAAGGGGTCTTTATAAAGATCACCACCGGATATAATTTCATTTGTCTCTATAGAGCACATTTCTCCCTTTCCTAAAGTAATCTTTCAGTATGAACCTGTGCTGTGGTTTGTCTCTATTGTATTTTCATTTGTTTTGTTTCTTTGCAGTTGACGAGAAGAATCTACAAAGGTATCCCAGACAAGATGCGAGGTACTGTATGGGCCATGCTTCTAGACCTTAACAAGATAAAAGATGAGCAGCCGAATGTCTATGAGGTAAATAAAAATAAAAATAATAGCTAGTTCTTATATAGCGCTTTTCAGGGCCAAAGGCCCTCTAAAAGCGCTTTACAGATATACAGTTGTATATATTATTACTCGGTCATCGGATTCAGGCTTACCCGCTCACAATGTATGCACATTCTCCACTCCCTGGGGAGCATTCCAGCCAGGCAAGCGCACACTTGCTAATCTAAGCACATCATAATGATAATGATGATAATAATGATAAAAACAATAGCCACATTTTTATAGAGCTTATAGTGCAACCTGCTTTAGCAACCACCTGTATAGAAAGACTGCCTGTCTATGAAGTCCACATATTTTGTTATCAATATCATTTTTTATTTTATAGAAATGTTTACTAAAGGCACCTGTTCATAAAGACCACCTGCCTATTAGTATGAAGACCACTTTTCTTGTCTCCCTTGAGCGGTCTTTATATACAGGTTTCACTGTACTATGTTTCTTACTATTTTATATTGTAATTGTTATTATCCCAGTCATTGGATTTAATTGCTAATCCACACGTGATAGTGCACACTCTCTGCTCCCTGGGGAGTATTCTGGCCAGGCGCCATTTTACAAGCGCACACATGCCAATCCAACCGCATTAATGTTCACATCCTACTGAGCATCCATCAAACACCTGTATAAAAAGTCAAACCAGAAATGTATTAAAGGTAAAGACCAGTATTGGAAACGCCCCAATTTCAAAAAATGAAATGGAAGCTCTTATTACCAATCATGTGAAAGAATATGTTTTGAATATTACATGGTGATCAAAATTTTGACGGGAAACCACCTCCTAATTGATATATTTGGTAAATTAGTGTATCTCTTGCCTGTTGAGAGATACAAATGCACGTGTCGCGCACGTGTGTGTAGTCCCATATACATCTTTCTGTGTACAGTGCTTCTAACTTTATGAAGACTTAGCCAAATTTCTTATCATTTTGATGATTCCAGAACCTTGCAGTACATCTTTGCTAGATGATTAACCTTTTCTGATCGATTTCACAACGTTTCTTTCACAATGCAATCGCATGACCATAACTGGTCTTTAGCTTTAATAAGGAGGTCAAGCAAATGGTCTGCGAAGCCATAGCCTGACCAACCATAAATGTAGGCTAACTGGACGAAAGAAGAATTTGAATTGACCATCTACTACTCTTAGTTGTGAACTATTCTGTTTCTTTCCTATAGATGTAAATTTTAAAGTTCATACGTTAAAGGAAGTCTCATATTTCCAAACAGCTGTCCGTTAAAATAGCCTTGGATTAGAATATCTTGATACATTTCTTGCCTCACATCCCAATTTTAAGCCACTGTTCCCTCCTAGGCTAGTATATGAATACAGACCCTTCTGGGACCATACAAAATACATGTACGTTCATTTGGCAGGTTGTAAAATACATATGTAGGGTTATTTTTAAACTAGAATGGACTGTATAGGATTTATGTTTCTTGAGAATGGGACATATTAAATATTATATCTGAAAGTATTCAACAACGGTTATAATTCAACTAGTCCACCTTTCATTCTTGAGTTATCAAAAACACAAAAACATCAAATTTACAAGGGCGTATGAATAATTTAGTTGTTAACTGTACCTTTAAAAAGACCCTGCTGATTCAATACATATAAATAAAGACCAGTTATGGTCATGCGATTGCATTGTGAAAGAAACGTTGTGGAATCGATCAGAAAAGGTTGATCATCTAGCATATAAGTATTGGTGTGTACTGCAAGGTTCTGGAATCAACAAAATGATAAGAAATTTGGCCCAGTCTTGGTAAAGTTACAAGCACTGTACACAGAAAGATGTATATGGGTCTACACGACACGTGTGCGACACGTGCTTGATATCTATCAGGTCCAAATAGATATAACAATTTACCAAATATATCTATTAGTAGGCGGTTTCTCGGCAAAATTTGTATCACGTATTAGTAAAAAACATATTCTTTCACATGATTGGTAATAAGAGCTTCCATTTTATTTTTTTGAGAGGGGGGCGTTTCCAAAACTGATCTTTACCTTTAATTGATGGGTCTGAAATGAACAACTACTACCACAGGTCTACATGTATGTTACATGTCATATACACTGGGCCAGCCTTCCTAAGTTGGGTGGAGTAGAATTAGTGTTTTTTCACTAGATTACGGAGCTTAGAAGAATCGTCAAATTGCTATTTCTGCCCCACGAAATATCTTGATTAATCATCGGCTTCATCAGACAAGATTTTCAGGGGATTTGACAAACTTTTTATCGTTTTCTTCAAATTCCTGCATTCCATGTAGAATCTCCCTTTCCTGAGCTATATTTTGTGAGATTTCTATAGTTCTTAATTAGCGCAATGATTAAAACTATTCATTCAAGTTGTCAAATTTAAATTAAACATTTCTTAATTGTACATTGAGATGTCCATGTGTACTTGTATTTGTGATCACATACAGTATTCTCTTATGTGATAATTGAGCCACTTGTATATTAATTTTGGTGAGTTATTGGCAAGAATGATACCGTACTCTAAAATCTTAACCTAAGTGATAATCGTCCTCAACAAATGAAATGTGGAGAGCACAAAAGCTGTTTATACATTGCATCTATCTATCTAAAAATATTTGATTGATACCCATGTATCTCTCAGCTACTCGAGAACTTAATACATAGGCTTTATGCCTTGAATTTATAATTTATTTATTTACAGGAATATTCTTTCAATACCCACTAAATTTAAGGCTTGTTTCTACCCCTTTGTACATTTTGGCATAAATTTTACAGCTTTTTTTTTTTTATCAGTATCATCCAATACAAGTATCTCAAAATTGCACCAATAGTTTAATCTCCAATATTTATAACAGTACTGAGTCAATGTACAAAATCAACAGCATTGGTAGTTATGTATTGATATCTCTAAACTTCATATGAATTTAACAAAAATGTAAATGTAACAAAGTTATGAATGTTCTTAATAGACCTTGCAATTTCAAAATAGTTTCATTGAAGAAGGTTGGATACCTTTCAAGATGTTTTTCCCCTTTTTTCTAGACACCTTGTATTATATAAATGTACCAACTGTCTCTGTGGTACATGTATCTATAGGTTACGAGTTGGGAAGTAATTTCATCAAATCAGAGGCAAGGCCCGACACTAATACACACATGTGCACCAAAAATTCTTAGTCTAACCCCCCCCCCCCCCCCCAAAAAAAAAAAGAAAGAAAGAAAGAAAAAAAAAGAAAGAAAATGTATATATTGTTTTAAAAAATTCAAAAAAATCTGGATTCACTTCCAACAAGGTTAAAAAGTGTGGAGCACTGCCAGCGATATCTTTCATAATCCAACCACTTAACCATGTACATGGCAGGTGCTTGGTTCGTTGGGAAATAGATATGCACTGATGGAAGTGAAAATTTAGGGAAGGAAAGAGGATGTGAAGGAAAGCATAAAACAGAAGGGAAAGACAAGAAATAAGGGGAAATGGGCATTAAGAAAGAGGATGTAACATTTACTATCTTCTTTCTACCCTCTCCTCCCCCTCCCCCCCCCCCCAAAAAAAAAGAAGAGATAGACACTTTTTATCTTGAAAAGGAAAAACAAGGAAAGATGATTTTAATTGAAAGATGGGGGGGGGGGGGGGTGAGAATCAAAGAATGAGAGGGAGAAAGAGAGAGAGAGAGAGAAAGATTATAATATTATATGATAATTTTAAGGATCATGTTACCGTTAGTCTTAATTATTTATTTCAAAATACTCGGACAAAAATATCTTACATGTACAGTATGTTTTATTATAGAGGTGAAGACAATAACTTGTCTCATATTGTATGAAAGAAAACTGTCTTGAAGTTCTTGATTCTGTACATTCATCAACATTAATTGTTTACATGCAGAAGTGCATGATATCTACTGTGCTCAACGCTCGTGAGTTGAACTACCGATAATCAAGGACTCTGACTCTGCTTTGTGGTTTAAAGTTGGCACGAAAATGTTTTTTAAAAATTATAGCAGGGCTAGATACATGCATTGTGTAATACAATATCAACAGCTTTTTCAATGACGACTAGCTTTTGAACACGGCCTGCTTAAAGAGAAGGTTGAGTTCTGGGAAGAGGTGAAAAATAATTTGTGAGCATTACTCATCAGAGATGCCAACTAGTACGGATTTCCCGTAATTTCTACGGGAAATCGGCCGATTACGGGCGGTACGATTTTCATACCATAAATTCCGGATTTTGCCGATTTTGCCGATTTTCAAAATTAGCACTTAAAGGTTTAGCACGTTTAAGGTTTAGCACGTACTTTTGACTATTGCAGCGCAGCCATCCTTGAATCCATGCATAGAAATCCCACAGGGCTTCCGATTGGACAATTTGTTATCTAGCACACCCCTTTCAGTGCATACATGTGCATACAACATGTGCTTCGCGAGCGGGGGCCGGGTGAAATACCTCTCTTGGCCGCTACCGCCCGCCCATGCCCAGCGCCAGGCCTCGCTACGCTAGCGCCGTGTACACTGTCGGATTTCTCACAGGCTGTCACAGCGTTCGTCGATTTTCGTCGACAATCTGAACTCATGTTGGTTGGATTTAGATATCAATCATCATGTCTTCCACAACTAAGAAGCGTGGCAAGAAGTTACAGACTTTTAAAGAAGAATACAGTAAGAAATGGAAATGCATCGTGTAACACCAACTAATGAACAGGTAGACTATGTTACTTTTATTTAACTTGTTGTGCTATCGCGCTTGCCTGCGGGAGCTGCGCTTGCCAGCGTGCAGAAAAATTTGCGTCGCGCAGAAAATTACGGATTTTGTCTCCAAATTACGGATTTTTAGCCTTATGATTACGGATTTGTGCTCTGAAAGGTTGGCATCCCTGACTCATTCTTATTATGGAAGTGTGGAAGCACATCAGTTAAGACATGTTGCCTGAAAAGCATGGCTCTTCAAATGCCTTCATATTCTAAATATGCATGTAACATCGTAAAAATCGGGGGGGGGGGGGGCCTTTTTACGCCACGTGTTCGTGTAGTCCCATATACATCTTTCTGTGCAAGTGTTTGCAACTTTTAACTTGGCCACATTTCTTATCATTTTGATGATTCCAGAACCTTGCAATACACACAAATTCTTATATGCTAGATGATCAACCTTTTCTGGTCGGTTCCACACCGTTTCTTTCACAATGCAATCGCATGACCAGAACTCAACTTCATCTTTAAAGCAGGGAGTCAGCGGTACAATGCACCGGGCATTGGCCAATATTTTAATTCGATCCGGATTAGTTACAGATTAATTGATTTAAATAGCTCTCAAAATGGGCGGATTTGAGTAAGCTGTACATGTGTGTGGAATGGGAGGTACATTAGTACAGGAAGTATGTAGGGGAGAGACTGAAATAGGGAGTATAATAGAAAGAAAGTGATATATTGAGAATGAAAGATGGACAGAGAGAAAAGAGAGATATATTTAAAGATGAAGTTGAGTTCTGGTCATGCGATTGCATCGTGAAAGAAACGGTGTGGAACTGACCAGAAAAGGTTGACCATCTAGCATATACGAATTTGTGTGTATTGCAAGGTTCTGGAATCATCAAAATGATAAGAAATGTAGCCAAGTCTTGGTAAAGTTACAAATACTGTACACAGAAAGATGTATATGGGACTACACGAACACGTGGCGAAGAAAGCCGGCCCCCGATTTTTATGATGTTAAAAATATCTTATCTGATGAACATGTCTTATCTGATGTTCTTCCACACTTGCATAATAACAATGAGTAATGCTCACAAATTATTTTTCACCTCTTCCCAGAACTCAACCTTCTCTTTAAGAAATAAAGAGAGAAAAATAGAAAAGTGGTTAAAGTTTGAAGGAGATTAAAAAGAGAGAGGGAGGAAAAGGAATATTGATGGGGAAAAAAGGGAGCAAGAGAGAGAGAGAGAGAGAGAGAGAGAGGAAAAAGGGAAGGGAGAGGGAGGTAGGGATGGAGGGAAAGTGAGGAGAGGAAGAGAGATAGAGAGAAAGAGAGAGCGAGAGAGAGAGAGAGAGAGAAGGGGGGGGGGGCAGAGAGACAGAGAAAAATTTATAGACATTTTTACCGATGTCTTATAAAGGGATAAAGTATTTAATCAAAATGTCATACTCTTCAGAAATTACCATATCACACAATAATTCATGTTTTCACAGCAGTTCCAGCTGCTAAAACTAAGCCCAACCAGGGTAGAAAATTGAGCCTAAATTCTTTTATGAAAGGAGACATCACATGCCAATTTATCCTTTTGCATAAACACTTCATGAACTGGAACTTCCTGGCAAAGTTTAATACAAAAATAATAATAAGTGTTTTGACATTTCTTTTCAAAACCCGGAAGTGATGCACATACTCTGTTAATGTAAAGGAGCTAATTTCCGCTCGTCGAGGAGTGTGATTAGGGACCACTCCTTTTGGAGTGAAATTTGGACGGAATTCACCCTCAAAAGATGTAAAGTTAGCTCTTAAAAGACAATAAATTCAGTCTTTTAGAAGAAAATCTGTCTTTTTGGAATGAACTTTACATCTTTTGAGGGTGAATTCCGTCCAAATTTCACTCCAAAAGGAGTGGTCCCTAATCACACTCCTCGACGAGCGGAAATTAGCTCCTTTACATTAACAGAGTAAGTTATTAATTTCTTCATAATAAATAGAAGATATCTAAAGGAGTGAGCATGATTCCTTGTTAAGAAAATTGTATCAAAAACATATTTCCTCTTTCTTTTTGTTTCACCCTAGTAATTTATTTCACCCTGTTTCACCTTTAATATCAAGTAGATCTATGAATACAAAATGGTCACAATTAATGATAAAGGCAAGCAGATATTAAACTAATACTCCCCTCGTAACCATGTATATATATATATATATATGAAAGAAATTACAACAAACTATTCCTGTATTCTGGTAGCCATAAATGAAGTTCTTAGTAATAAAAAGAAACATAAATAAAGGGTAGGAACATTGGAAAAATCATGAAGAAAAAGCACAAACAGAATCTGTTAAGAACTTGAAGAATGATACGCTTCATGAAAATCTTCAAAGTTAAAAAGTTCAAGAAGGAGAGGTTTCAGATATAATGTCTTGCACGTACCGACATATTATCTCCACCGCGTTGTGTCATCATTCGTAAATCCTCTCTCAAATTTTTGTTGGGGTCACGCTTCGGTCAACAAGCTCTCCTTATTTCAGTGTGCAGCATTCAAATTGTCATTGCTAGTAAATGTTTGATGGTTTGTAAAACCTTTAAGGGTTTGATCATGATTTTGGATATGTTTTCTTTAATTTCACACCAATGTACAAATTCAGTCTAGTTTTAGTCATGAACTGTGAACATGATTTGGCTTTGTCTTATGAATTTTGTCCAACAAAACTGAGTACAATCTAGCAAAAACATAATATTTCAACATTACTTTGTATAACGGGGTATTAAGAACATTAAAGCCAGTAAGTCCCTTTGCAGAAAGATACATGTATGTTTTGTAATCCATGCCAATTAACACTGAAATGGATGTGAAAAAAACAAACAAGCATAAGTAACATGGAAATATCATCTTACTACGATATCTTATGATAAGGCTTCACAAAATGTAAATGTCATTAAAAAATATTAGAGATATATGCCTAGTTTTATTGTTTTTTGTTTCTTTAACTTCTTGTTGTGGTACCACCAATTAAAAATAATAATAATGATAATGATAGCGCTCCATAATAGTGGTTCTAAGCTCTGTGATTGTTACTCCGACATTAGCCGGGTGGCCCTGATATGGGGCCCCTGGCATTCAAGGAATTTCTCCCACCAGGTACCCATTTACATTCACCTTGGTGAAGGGTGGCAAATGCAGATTAATGTTTTTTGCCAAAAGACATGTGTGCCGCGCAGGACTCAAAATGCTAACCATTTATTTATTTATTTATTTCAAATGGTTTATTTCATTAAAAAAAATTCGTGGCCCGAGAGCCGAATTGCAGTTTCTTTTACAAAGTAATACATCAGTGACAAAGTAAAATTGGAATTGGAACATATGATATATAATTGTGCTTCAACGACCTTGGCAAATTGCTTGGTACATATACAGAAATCTATGCGATGCACAGTACGGTGACGTATCCACTAGACCGTGTCACCTCTACAAAGAATCTTCAAATTCTTTAGACAATAAGAATCATCTTCATTCATTCATCGCCTTCGCTGGATGTCTTCCGAAAAATGTCTCAAAACACTTCTCGTTGACCATGATCAACAATAGATTCTTTGATAATTTTTATATGTAAAGCGCTGTGAAACAACAGTTAGTTTGTATAAAGAGTGCTATAGAAACTGTTATTTATTATTCATTTTGAAATGAAATCGTAACATTCTAATTAAACAATTTATTCTATTTTTTTCTTCAGAGAATGAAAGCGAGAGCGAGGATACACTCTCCTGACATCAGGCAGATAGATCTTGATGTGAACAGGACATTCAGGAATCACATCATGTTTAGGGATCGATACGGCATCAAACAACAGGCTCTCTTCCACATACTGGCTGCATACTCCATGTACAATACGGTATGTAATTATAGTCAAATCTGTCTTTAATAGCGAAGCTGTGAAGTCATAAAGATCTATTTTTAGAATTTCTCCATTTGAACTTCATTTTCTGAGAGAGCATACAAAAATAATGTCCAAATGTCGAAAACCAATTGAATATATTAAGTATTGGCTAAGATATGACCATCTGAATAAATAGATTTCCTATAGAAACTCAGTGTTATTTTGCTCTGGTTCGTAATGTTACGAGCCAGAGGAAAAAAAATTTGGGCCTCGTATATTAAAAAATTGATGAATTAGCAGAAATTGGAGCTTTAGAAATATATTTTGTTTAAATTCAGGAGCCAAAGCTTGCCTGTCACATGCATTGTTCTCAGCCTTTCTTTCTTTCACAACATTGAAACAATGTGTTCTTGTTTGAATATTACACATCCAGAGTTTAGAGATTGAAATCTGGAGAGTGATTTCCGCAAATACTTCTCTCCCGTCGAACTTTGCCCAAAGACAATAGCGTAATAATCCACTGGAAAGCCGTATCCCCAGTACTGATCCATATGACTTTGGAAATGACACTGTACAATTTGCCTGTTTTGTGCTAGAAGGGTCTATCTGTGTGTAAGATGCTAGGTGATAGTGCCCTTTTTGTGCTAAGCAGAAGTTTGCTAGTTTAGAAACCCTGGAAATGTCTGTATGAGGGGTTTTGTTTTGTTGGGAAAGTAACATTTGATGGAAAAAGGAGTATTTGTAGATTGAGAGAAGGAGAAAGACGGACAAAACAGAAGAGAGAGAGAGAGAGAGGGGATGAGACATACATGTATTAAGAAGAAAGGAGGGAGAATTAAACAAAAAGTGAAAATTGAAGAAAATGGAAAGGTGTTTGGGGGGGGGGGGGGGGGAACAGGAGAAAAGAAAGGGGAAAGGAACCGGTGACAATATTAGATAATCAGGTAAAGAAGAATTAAAATCAAGGAGAAAAAAAAGAGGGAAAGCAAGACGCTTTTAAAAATAATGGGGAGAATAAAAGAAAGGGAGAAACAAAAATTTTGAAATAAAAAGTGAGAGAGAGAGTTAGAGTTGAAAATGATGGTGAAAAAATAGAACGATAAATGCATGTCGTAAACAAAAAGATGTGAATAAATGAAAAGAGATGTAGAACATGCTTATGATGAAATCAATAACTTGCTTACTAGCAGAATAGCTTAGGAGATCCCTGAAAGATAAAAGAGAAGATAGAAGAAAGGCTGGAAAATAAAACGTATAAAAGCAAACACAAGAAAAAGCACAGAAGACAAAAAGGAGGAAAGGTAGGCAATAAGAAAAAAATAAAAGAGTAACAGTCTGAAAAATACATGGAGATAGAATAATATTTAGAACAAGCTATTGAAGAATTGCTAAGGAGATCCCTGAAAGCTAAAGTGAAAAATAGAAGAAAAGAACACAGAAAGAATAAAAATGGACAGATAAAGAAGTATAAATGACATAAAGGAGGAAAGGTAAGAAAGAAGGAAAAATAGAGGATTAGTCTGAAAATATATGAAGATAGAAGAATATATAGAACAAGCTATTGAAGAATTGCTAAGGAGATCCCTGAAAGCTTAAGTGAAAAATAGAAGAAAACAAGTCTGAAAAAATATATCAAGAATGAAGAAGAGATGGAGAAAGCAATAAATTGTTTCCTGGCGGAGCTGTTAAGGAGGTCCCTGAAAGGTAAAATGAATATAGAAGAAAGGCTCAAGCAATGGAACCAATAAGAAAGGGACAAAAGAAAAAGTAAACACAACAGAAAGGAAGAAAGGGATAAAAGAAGGGAAAATAGAAGAACATAAGTCTGATAAAATATATGAAGAATCAAGAAGAGATGGATCGAGAAAGCAATAACTTGTTCCCTGGCAGAGTTGTTAAGGAGGTCCCTGATGGTTATCTCTGTAAGACGGATGAGCTGTAGAGGAGATTCATGCAAAGCTCGCATCATATCCTGCCCTGATCCTACAGATAACATTGTGACATACACTCACATAGGTACTAGAAACATTCACTCTAACATGTGATCAGTCATGCGACTTAATGCGTGTCATCATGAAAAGTATGATTTCATGAAAAACTAGAGGAATATTTGATTTACAAACAATGTGACATAGACTCACATACTAGAAACATTCACTGTAACATGTGATCTGCCATGCGTCTTCATCTGTGTCATATTAGAAAAAGTATGATTTCATGAAAAACTAGAAGAATATTTGATCAACAAATAATGTGACATAGACTCACATACTAGAAACATTCACTCTAACATGTGATCTGTCATGCGACTTCAACTCATGTGTGTCATATTAAGAAAAGCACAATTTCATGAAAAACTAAAGGAATATTTGATTTACAAACATTGTAACATACACTGTAGACTCACATACTAGAAACATTTATCATAATATGTAATCAGTCATGCGACTTCATGCGTGTCATATTAAAAAAGGCATGATTTCATGAAAAACTAAAGGAATATTTGACTTACAAACAATGTGACATAGACTCACATACTAGAAACATTCATCATAATATGTAATCAGTTATGTGAAATCATGCATGTCGTAATATTTTTGTAAAAGTATGATTTTTTTTGTGTAAAAACTAATTGAAAGGGATATTTGATTAATACAAACATTGTGACAAAGACTCACATACTAGAAATATTCACTGTAACATGTGATCTGTCATGCAACTTCATGCATGTCATAATATTTTCAAAAAGTATGTTTTTTTGTAAAAACTAATTGTAAGGAATATTTGATTTACAGTACAAACATTGTGTCATCGACTCACAGACTTGAAACATTCACAGTGACATGTGATCAGTCATGAGACTACATGTACATGTACTTGTATATCATCTTATTTCTGAAAAACATGACCTTTGCTTCTTTTAGAATATTATGTCAAAAAAACTGTGATGCAGGCTCAAACACTTTACATTATGTGTGATTAGTGTGTTCAGACATACTGCATGTCATTAAAAAAAACCTAATACTTCAAAGAATAGTTTGGCTGGCCTGTTAATTTTGTTCTACATACATGTAAACTATAAATGGTTACTATCTTAAGAGTTTTTTAAACATGTTTATTGAAATGAAATTATCTTCAAATTGGCTTTTAAAGGGACTTGGTAACATTGTTAAGATGAGAGAAAAAGGTGCTAAGGTAGTGACTTCAATGCCAGACGTACAATTAGAGATAATCTGAAAGTTTGAATGAAAAGGGACCATTATTATTAATAACAATTGGGAAAAACTGATCAGATCGATTCCAGAATTATCCCAACTATATTATTATAATTTAATTAAATGTTAGGTGATTATAAATTGTCACAAAGAATTGACGACTTCAAAGAAAATCATCATATCTTTGTGGTTTGAGAATTTTTTCAGGATTTTTTGCATGTTAAAGGGTGAGTACAGTAGAAGGAATATAATAAGTAACATTTCATACAAAAATTACACAGTTATTCCATCAATCTTCAACAATGTTTAATGCTGAGTCACTTTAAAGCATGGATGTACTTTGAGTTTTCTCTTTTTCTTCTTTCTTCTACCTGTAGGAGGTTGGATATTGCCAGGGGATGAGCCAGATAGCAGCCCTCCTACTCATGTACCTCAACGAGGAAGAAGCCTTCTGGGCTCTCCATATCCTACTCACCGACACCAAGCATGCCATGCACGGTAAGTCAACTATAGAGGGTGCTGTACATTGCGTTTATCCTTTACTAAGTACTGTAGAAGTGCCGTAGTCGAGTGGTTTAAGCACTTGACTTGAAATTCAAAGGTCGTGGTTAGTCGTGGTTCAATCCCCGATACGGCACTATGTCCATTGGCAAGACATTGATCTACATTTGCCACACTCAACCCAAGTGTTGAATGGGTACTCGGTAGGATGCAAAAAGTTAATGTGGTTGGATTAGCAAGTGGCGCTTGTAAAATGGCGACTGGCTGGAATGCTCCCCAGGGAGTGGAAAATGTGCACACATTGTGTTGCGGGTAAGCCTGAATCAATCAATCAATCAATCAATCAATCAATCAAATCAATCAATCTAAATTGATTTCTTATTCCCTTTTTGATATTTGATTGTGATATGACTGACACATCTTGCACATGTCATTAACGTAAATAATCAGTAAAAGAGGTCCAAGAACGGATCCTTGAGACACTCCATATCTAAGTTTTTCGGTATTAGACTTATCTTTATTTATTTGTACAAATTTGGTTCTATTTTCTAAATAATTATGATTTGAATTGACTTTGAATAGAATTGACTTTGAATAGAATTGAATTTGAATAGAATTGAATTGAATTGAATTGCATGGAATTGCATTGAATTGATCGAATTGAATTGAATTGAATTGAATTGAATTGAATTGAATTGAATTGGAAAAAATCTCTTTCAGGGTTCTTTATTCCTGGGTTCCCGAAGCTGATCAGGTACCAGGACCACCATGAGAACATCCTCAGGAAACTCCTACCCAAGATCCGCAAGAATCTGGTAAGTAATCTCGTTCTGATCCCGCCCACTAAACTCCATCTCCTACAGGTTTACTACCGGTATTTAAAAACCTGAATCTCTTGCAAATTGTAAAGAACAGGCATTTTCCCGACAATAAATTACATCCTCGGGAAACTCCTACCCAAGATCCGCAAGAATCTGGTAAGTACTCTAGGCCAACTCCGCTCAACTCCATCCCCTACAGGGTTACTAGTTTAACTCTTTATATGCAACACAAATTATCCCCCCTGTGCTTTATTGTATTTATCATAGGATAGATATACCAAAGGATTCAAGATTATTTAACTGTTTCCAGGGCAAGATTAATCTATACTGGTGTTAAAGGGTCTTCATAGAGCCAATGAAGACTGGAAATGGGTGATTGTGCTATGCATTGCACAAAGCAATCTTTCTGTCAATTTGTGGCTATTGTATTTTAAAAAATTGCATGTGTAAGGAGGCAAAGAAAGCAAAGGAAGTGTTAAAGTGTACCAATCAGGTAAAGATAACTTCTGTACAGCTAGAAAGTATGAAATCAACCTAAACAACTTCACATGAGCTTATGGATAATCCTAAGGAGAAGGAAGAAATATAAAAATAAGATAAAACTGCACACACTTGCAGGGAATAATTTGCCTCAAAATTTTTAATTAGCAATTTCAGCTGATGGCTATTTCAAATGAAATTCTTTACATTTCTATGGAAGAAAACTGCTACACCAAAGATTTTTGTATAGCAGTCATGCAAAAATGCATAATAATAATAATAATAATAATCAATTATTATTATTATATCAATTATTATTATTATTATATATTTTGTATAGCAGTCATGCAATACCAGGAAAATTATTTCCTGCACTTGGCTCTATGTCATTGATGGGGTTAGAGTTAGGATTACTGATAGGCATAGTATTTGGTGTAGGGCTTGAGTGAGGAGTTTGGTTTGTTTAGGATATTAACCCAGGAGCAATTGTTTGAGGATCATCTGTCATAGAACCCAGCATAGTACCCCTAACATACGGTACAGAGGTGGCTAGAAATACTATATTTAGCTTAGACGGTGTTGGGAGAATTACGAAAAGGGAAATGATTGATAATTCCAAAGAAACAAGAAAAGAAACTTGCACTTGAGAAAATCCAACTTTGCCTTCTGAAATAGACCAAGGTTTCTAGATTGGGTTTCGACTGGCATGATACTGGATAGCTATTTTTGGTTCATGATCTGAAAATAGAGCATTTGGAACTACATGTTTATTTTTAATGAGAAGAAAAGGATTGGTGTCATTTTACGAAATGCTCTTGAGCCAAGGAAAGACCTGGGTATTATAAGAGGAACCCGACACTATATACACATACTTAATTAACTTGGAGTTGATGATAGAGGATATTAATTAAGGAGTTAGAGCCGGGAGATTTGCTTCATATACTGAATATTAAGGGATGTGGAAGTTTCTAGTTATTGCGCAGTCATAAACTTTATTCAAACTGTTACACAGCAATCTTTTAGTTTTTTTTAAACATTTCGTCCTTGTTTTCACGAAGTGACGGTAGTGAGGAAAATCGTCACGCAAAGTGAATGCAATTTTTTTCACTACCGTCACTTCGTGAAAACAGCGACGATTTGTTGCTATTTTGCTGGACTTAATAAGCAATTTACTGAGTGATGAATTAATAAGTGGAATAACTCAAAGATTATATCCTCACAAAATACATTTTAATTCATAGAACTTATGATTTCAGCACAAGATTAGAAAAGAGGTGTTGTTGTTGTGGTTTGAATGCTTGATTGTAGAAACAAAGGGAATGGGTTCAACCCTAAACTCTTAAACTAAACTCTTTTGACTAGACATCGATCCACATGTACATGCAGGTATGCCACTCGCAACCGAGGAATATTAAGTAGGAACGTACCTGGTAGCAAGCAATACCTTGAATGCAGGGATGCCAGTTTTCAGGCAATAGCCTGTATTCAGGCCCTGGCGAGTTATTTTCATACCATAGTTTAGGTTTTTTGTGTGTACAAACTAGCTCATTCTAGGTGATATTCAGGCCCTCTGATCTATTCTAACTAGCATCCCTACTCGAATGTAATGATAACAGCTATGTTAAAGCCATTGTGATAATAATGTAATACCATGAGCACTTTACACGATCCAACTATTATAACTACAGTCAACTCACAGTCGCATAAGTTACATTTTCCCACCGTCAAATCAATTTTTTCGTTTTCATACTATGCAGAACATGTATTTTCTATTAGTCAAAGTTGTTTTGCAGTCCCAACAGATTTGACTCATGCAGAGTTAACTAATATTTAACTAGTAACTAGCAGTGTTAACGAGTTAGCTACTATTATTATTCTCATTTGTTTTCTTGATTTCTTTGTTTTAGGACCGGTTGGAGATCCACACCAGCCTGTACTCGATGAAGTGGTTCTTCCAGTGTTTCCTGGATAGAGTACCGTTCCCTCTCACTCTCAGGCTATGGGATATCTTCATGCTAGAAGGAGATAAGATACTTACCACAATGGCATATACACTTATGAAACTACACAGAAGTGAGTGATGGATAGATAGATGGATAGAGAGATAGTAGAAGGGAGCAAGAAAGAAAGAAAGAGAGAGAGAGAGAGGGGGGGGGGGGTGGCAGGGGTGGGGATGGGGTGCTCAAATATGCTGACATCGATGTTATGGGATATATTAATGCATGCACGCATTCGTAATAGCAGTTATTGGTATTGAATGCAACAGATTATCTCAAAATAAACTTGGCACCGGGGGGGATTTGTCTCTTGGCACAATGGGGATTAGCCCTGCAGCACTTGGCTTTATTCATTATGGCAGGATAAGAGTTATGCACCCACGAATAGTCCACCCTTAATTTGCAATTGAGAATGTTGTAGTCTTTGGGGGGTAGATCTAATTGTATTGATTCCTCCTCCTATGTTTTCCAGGAGTGATGATCAAGAAGGACATGGAGTTGGTGGTGAGGTACCTACAGGAGCAGCTGGTCCTCGACTTCGGTTATAGGGACGATGAGGTCATCGATGCCCTGCAGGAGGGGATAACGGGTATGATTGCCTTTGGTTATTCACATTGCACAGCTGATGACACAACTGAATATGAGAGTTTGTTACAAATATAAATAGGATAACATATAGATATTAAATTTAAAAAATGAAACAATCTTTCCAATGGAGATACTAAATGTTATTTGAATAGTAGTTTTGGAATACATGGAGAAAGGTTCACAAAGATGCCTTCCCTTCATATTCGTGTTTCAGGTTGATCTGAAATATACTCACTATGAACATGACAGACAAAGAAAGAGGACAAAATATAAAGTTCCTCAGGTAGACAAAGGAACATCCCTTCACTGCTATTACCATATGTAAAAATGTGTAGAACAGGTGTCACATGCATATTCACCTGTTCTACACATTTTCACATTTTAGCAGTGAAGGGATGTTCCTTTGTCTACCACAACAATTGTTGAGGGTAGAATGAGGAACTGTATATTTTGTCCTCTTTCTTTGTCCGTCATGTTCATAGTGACTTTTGCATTCAGAAACATTAAGACTTTTGTGTGTTCTTTACTTTTTTCTGTATTCATGTTTTATTTCATTCCAGAATTGAAACGCTCAAAGCTACTTGAGAACTGTATTCATAGCAAACATAGATTGAAATGCCCATAAACCTTCTCTTTATATTCGTGTTGAAACCATGTCTTCAACACAATCCTACCATACAGAAATATGATGGCTTAGGGTTCTTAATATCATTCTCAAATTTCTTTTTTTCTATTTTTCATTGCAGAATTGAAACGCTCAAAGCTACTGATACCCAAACCCGCTAAGCAAAACGAGTTGGCCATCCTCCCGTTCGGTCTGATGCGACAGCCTTCGGTCAGCCAACAAACCGGGCTACGGACGGCTATGCCGGTCTCTCCTCCGCCGGTCGGCAATGGCACTAGTAGACAAGTAAGGCCACGATAATCAGCATGCCCCCGTAAATGTCAAAATAGCTTTTTCTTCCCAACAGACTTTTCTCCCCTTGCTGGGGGTTGAGATGATCAATGTTGCATGAACCAGCATTGCATGAATTACTGTGCTGTGTTAGAGGTGGAAGATGGGTGGTGTTTCAGATCCATGTCGCAACCATGTTGAATAGTCAGCTCATTATGCTACGATGATGATGATGATGATTCACAGCAATTGTTTGGCGCCATACATCTGTTTAAAAAAATATTCAAAGGCGCTAAAAGCTAGTATGCATGCATGCATGTGACTTTAGTGGATAGAAGGTGTATCAATGTGATCATTGAGTTTAACTTATCATATAGTATCAGGTACATGTAGTGTAGACAACATAAGCGAGTTAGCAAATAATCCACATGTTTAATCTGCATTCATAAACCATTAGCGACGGTGTCATGTACATCTAACACATATTTCCACTAGTCATTTGAGACGTCATCTAGGCTTTACATGTACATGTAGTTAACAAAAGACTTCAGATCAGCAAAATATGGACGTAAATGGGTAACAATGGACTGTTGTTGTCTCGATGTGAGAGATAGATGGCGCTGTTTAAATGTCATTCGCTTCTTCATCACCTTCACAAAGACGACTCGGTTGATGAGTGCAAAAGTGAAGATTCATTACATTTTGTGGCCAAGAGTGAATCCATTTGCGCTGTGATCGTTAGAGGGGTATGCAACAGTCTTTCACCATAAATTATGATGATATAACGGGCCGATAGATCTTTCTTCGGATAAATATGTTTTTTTTGGTCCAAGCAAAATTGAAGTATGCCACATTTACTTTTAACTTGTAATGACAATTATTTTTGGGGTGCTATTTTGTATTATACTATTTTCAAGGATAATTCATGACAAAAAATTGTATCAGGCTCATGTACGCGTTTTGCATATCGAAGCAGTTTACATAAAGTATATATTAAAAAGTATAAGTAGGAAGATAATGTATTTTCTGCAGAAGAAAGACAGAAAGAAAGAAAGAAAATATAATTTCATGCACTTCAAACTTCTTTCTTTAAAAAACGAAATGAATTAAAAAGATATTTATATGAAAAAAGACAACCAAAACATAATTATGTATGCTACATTCTACTTTAAAGTGGCACATCATAGTATATAATCATATTGTTTTAGGGCATATAGGTATTCATGATATTATATTACCAGCATTGCACAATCAGTTCTATTTAATGTGATATTCTTTGTATGTAATCCACCTGTAATCAACGTTGGATATTGCACTTGAAATGTATATGAACTTGTATAATCATGTACATTTATGTACAATACAGTAATCAGTTTCTCATTACACATATTCTTATTATCTTTATTATCATATTATCACATTAGGCCTGTGTTATTTTTTATTGCTGAACATTTCATTTAAACATTTGACTATAACTTAACCGTATCTAAATCATAAGAGTAACAAGGGAATATATTTGATACTAATGTTTGTAAATGTTGTAAATATGAATGCAGAGGATTATCTTTTTGAAGAGGAATATATTTCATATCTATTGCCAAATAATTTGTACATATTTTATGCTGGGAACTCACGAGTGAGGTTATACACATTTTTTGAAGACTGAAAACTTTTCTGTTGGATGAGGTACATGAACATGTTAGCCCTATCTGACTCCAATTACTTTGGAAGTTACTTTGTGGCTGCACTTTCCTCCTCTTTTATTTTTTATTTATTTATTTTTTTTTTGGGGGGGGGGGGGGCGGAGAGGAGGGGGAGTAGGTCATCACGAAAGTCGCATGTATCTAGACCAAAGGCTTACAAAGGATTTTTCCACATTAAACACAGGTGTTTTTGTTTTGCATGTGGCTAAAAAATATTATGTGTCTGTTTATTACTTTGTATAATTTTTTTTTGCATTCTACTATTTAATGATATAATTGACCAACAGGTTTGAAATTTGCAGGTTGAGCAATTATCTAGGTTGCACACTTGGTAAACTAAGGGTGTGTTAAATCGACACTTTTTCAACCTAGAATCACGTTTTTCAAAGACGTTTAGTTAAAACACGGTTGCGTTCAAACAATGTTTCGTCGGTCAAAAAAATAAACTTGTTTAAAACACAAACACAAAACGCTGAAAAATATGCGTTTTGTATCGTGATTCTGCAAAATCATGGTCGCTAAAATTTACTTGAACGAACAGAGATCCTATGATTCTATGACGTCATTATCGTGGCCTGTTCCGGTTTGACCGACAGTCGACTGTAAACACAGACAGAAAGCATGCAGCGAAGTTAACCCATACTTCCTGGATCAAACTGCACAGTGTGATGATCAGTGGCTGGGCTTGAAATGAGCAAGAATCAGCGTTTAAGATGAAAAATCGCTTGAGCGCTCTCCCGCAGTAACCATGTTTTTTAGCGGCGTTTTGATTTGTTATTTATGTTTGTGATTCTAGCTTCAAAAAATCGCTTGAACGCACCCTAAATATGTCAAGCGAGAGCAGTAAACTTGTTTTTAATACTGTTGTCTTGTTACAGGACAATTAATTACATCCTACAGACTTCTCAACCATCCCATGTTTCTCAAGCTACATTTCATCACAACCTTTCTTTTTATTGACTTATGATGAAAAAAGATATAGATCAATGTGGACTTGTCTACATTTCTGGCTAATAGTAGATTGGCCTTCATTTACTCTTATTGGAAAAACAAGTAGATTTATACACGATTCAGTACTTTGTGAATAATTTTTGTTGGTTGCTTTGGTGCATGTTGTGCATGTTATTGTAATTGTAATCAATCTTGTATTAAATTAATTACAAAGTTAAAAGAAAATAGCAGTTGTGTAGATGTTAGCTTTGTTAGATATTTGTAGCATGATTGCATGTTTTCAAGTTTGTTTTTGTGTGTTTGTTTGTGGCTTGCTTTTTGTGTGAACATGTATGTGCCAAGCTGCAAGGCATGAAAGCAAATTTAGTCATCTTTTGCCATTTTGATATTTCGTGATGAAAGTGTAAAAAGCACATGGAACATAGAAAAGATATCATAACTGAGATAATGGCTGATACATGTATATGCTGTTTTGATGTGTTTATTGTCCAGGGGGTGTTTCACAAAGATCCTAAGTTGGACTTAACAATTATGGAAAGCCGTTACCATCTTTGAAAATATTTTGTAAAGTCATTTTAAAAGGCATAAAATGTTGATTCAAATCATTCATATTTTCTATTATCAAGGAGATGTCATTTCCTTGATGTGGAATCTTTGTGAAGCACTCCTCTGACTGGAATATTTTTTTGTTAAAAAGCTAATTAGTAAAAGACATGTCAGAAATTTTGCTAAGTAGCCTCACTGACCCTGTAAGTGATGATGATGATGATGGTGATGAAAATGACAAAGTTAATACTGTGCAAAAGCCTTGTATCTCATTGCAAAATCTTTTAGCTTAGGAGCTTAGAATGAAAGAGCAAAAGAAATTAAAAGAAATGTTTGAATGTGCAAAGAAGTGTTGCTTTTATAAGCCCCTTGCAGTGCTCAACTCTCCTACTGGTATACATTTATGTATACCATTTTAACGAGCAAAGATGGCAAACAGTATCCACTTTAATATTAAAGGTCGTTTTGCCTTAATTCTTCTTTTCGTCACATTTTGGTATCAAGTCAGTGAGATCAGTCTAACATGGAAAAATAGAGAGAGAGAGAGAGAGGAGATATATCTCGACCAAAGTGAGAAAAACAAAATCAAACCTGGACCCTGTTTTGTAAATCTTGTTTTCAATAACAAATGCTAAATATCTATGACAAATTCTCGGGCAATCAAATTCCACGAAATGAGTAGCTGATAACAGTTATTTTAACTTTTAATTGATAACAAGTTTTATGAAACAGGGCAGTTTGTATCAATGCTAAGATATGTTTTGATCTTTTATATTGCCATTGTTTTGCATGAGCTTGCCTTGTGTCTGCTTGTACTTTTGTGTCTTGTTTCTGAATGTTTGTTTGTCCTTTAGTCCCCATCTTCCATCGTCTCCCAACCTCGTTCGTCTGAAACAGACAAACAAAAGAAGGTGAGCATGCTGCTTGTAGTTGTACTTTCTTTCTAATAATGCACAGGAGTGAAAATCCACTCTGTTAAGATAAACTTGAGTTCTGCTAAAAAAGAAAGAAAATTAATTCTCACAGAATCAAACAAAACTTACACTGAATGTTAAAGATTACAAATAAATGTCATGTGCCAAACAATTTTGGAAGAAAATGTGTACTGGCTGAGTAATGAGCATAGAAAGATAAGGAAGTCAGTGTAAGCTAGCCCGACACCATTTGTGTAGTCCCATGTACATCTTTCTGTGTACAGTGCTTGTTACTTTACTAAGACTGGGCAAAATTTATTATGATTTTGATGATTCCAGAACCTTGCAGTACACACCAATACTTACATGCTGCATGATCAACTTTTTCTGATCCATTCCACACCTTTTCTTTCACAATGCAATCGCATGACCAGAACTCAACCTTCTCTTTAAGGCTTGTTCAGATATGGCGCTGTAAACTGCTGCAAAAATAACAAAAAAACTCCCAACAAAAACGCTTAAAAAAAAAATGTGTTAAATGAATGGCTCTGTGTTATTAGATTCATAAATGTGACATGCATTACACTTGATGTCTTTTAAAAAACTGCTGCAGTTATGCTGCGTTATATCTGAAATAGGCTTAGGCGTCATATATACATGTAGGATCATTATCCATGCCAAAGAAGTGGTCAAAGTATTCTTTTGAGAGGGGATTTTACTATTATTTTTTTTTCTTCATCATGGATTCCATTCCAAACAAAGTGGTCCCAAATATTACGTCCCTCAAAAAGTGGGTTTCCATTACTGTTTATTTAGAGAGTATGCCCCATTGACACTGACAAGACCAACACCAGACCGTCAACACACCAAACACACACAAAAAAATTACAATATCCCCAAATTTTAAAGATTCTTTAGAAGCAACTGTAGCCTAATGAACATTTCAATGGCCCAGATTTCTGAACAAGCTTTCCACGTTTTGAATACCAGATGTATGATAAAGCCTTTTTTCAATGACAAATGACTAAAATCAGTGACAAATCTGCTGATAGCCAATGAGAAGCAAGGATTTCAGTAGCTTGTAACAAAAATTGTCATTTATCACTGATGACAAGTTTTGTGAAACGCCCCCCAGATGTATGATAACAAAGGGCAAATTTTTCTGCACATATTGTGTTAGTGTATGTTGCATGACCCGTTGTGGTCGATGCCACAAATTTTAGAATGGAAAAAAAGCTTTAAAATCCTTAAATTGGCAAAACATTGAGGGGTTCAAAATTCTTGTTTTTATCAAAATGTGCAATTTTTTTTCTCAACTTAACAGCAAGTTTTCTATCCATGTTTATTGCTTTCAAAGGCATTGCATTTCATGAGAACAATGAAGCAATAAAGGAAAATATTATTGTTGCCAATTTAAAGAATACAATGTGATCGATTTAGCCCCAATATATCCATGTCTTGAAAATGCTTTTGGTTGTGTTGGAGGTTTGACCAACTTTCGCAGTGTAGCTGGGGTATATAAGTTTAGTTCACCTATATTCATATCTACATGGTTATACAGTCAAACCTGTCTATAGCGACCACCCAAGGGAAACACAAAAAGTGGTCTTTGTAGACAGGTTCCTTTAGTACATGCACAGGCTTCAATGAGAAACCACTTTCAAGGGAAACAAAAATTGTGGTCTTTGTAGACAGGTGGTCACTAAAGCAGGTTTGACTGTACAAGCATTATTCTTCATCTTTATATTCTCAATCGTTCAACCCATTTCATATTTACGCACATCTCTAACAAGGGATATAACTTGGCCATGTAACCTCACTTTAACATGATTTGTCTTTTGTACTAACTGCTAATTTTCATTTGGGATGCATTGTGCTTTATGATTTCACATGAAAGTAAATCCATTTTATTACCTGATTTTGTGTTTTATAATTAATTTCATGTAAATGCTTTCCCAGCTATTCAGTTACATGTATATGTTCTTGTATCTAATATCTACTGTCTTTTTTTCTTCATGTTTATGTAGATATTTATGTTTACTGTTTATGTAAATGTTATTTGTTTTATTATGCAATATTTTAACATTACAAATGCTTCTAACATGTCTGATGATGTCATTCAATTTTTTAATTTTTTTAGTTGAGCATATTCATGAATAATTCAAAATTATACTCCCTCTTATTTATACTTTGCATTTAAAAGAAAATTGGTTTTACTCGGACATTTATACAGTCAATGATTCAAGCATTCTACAGAATTCTTTGCCTTTGTGGTTTCTTTCTTTTAAAAAAAATGTTTGTACTGAATACATGTATGATTATTTGATTTTAACTTTTGTTTTATATGTCTTATCAAATGTATTCTTAACGAAAAATGTGTACAAGAATGCTTCTCACAAAATCTGATGTGTACCTCTTGGTTGTGTTTGGGCCGGGAGTCCAGGGGGTGTTTCACAAAACTTGTCATCAATGACAAATGACAGTTGTTGTTATAAGCTACTGAAATCCTTGCTTCTGATTGGTTATCAGCAGATTTGTCACTGATATTTGTCATTTGTCATTGAAAAAAGGCTTTGTGAAAAGGGTCCCTGGGGGCTCTTGGACCTTGTTGCCCAACAGTTAAGCAAAGAATTCTAAGAAGGCCCCCACCAAAATAAAACTAGGTTATCACCTATGTTCAAATTGTGGACAATGCTCCTTAAAGATAAAGTTGAGTTCTGGTTATGCAATTGCATTGTGAAAGAAACGGTGTGAAATCGATAAGAAAAGGTTGATCATCTACATGTATAGCATATAAGTATTGGTGTGTACTGCAAGGTTCTGGAATCATCAAAATCATCAAAATGATAAGAAATTTGACCCAGTCTTGGTAAAGTTACAAGCACTGTACACTGAAAGATATATATGGGGCTACACGAACATTCGGCATTAAAATCTGTCCCGATTTTTTTGTTGTTGCATGCCATATTTAGAATATGATAGCATTTGAAGAGCCATGCTTTTCAGGGAACATTTTTTATTAGATGCTCTTCCAAAATTGCATGATAACAATGATAACGCTTACAAATTATTTTTCATCTCTTTCCAGAACTCAACCTTCTCTTTAATTTGTTGACACCCCTGTGTTTTTTTACTCTCTGACTATACTATGTGACATTTTGTGTATCGGTCTGTCTTTCTTTCATAATATATCTACCGGTATGTGCTGTTATTGTGGAAATTTCTTGAGGAGATTTTGGGCGCTTATGTGTCCTTAGCGCCTGTTTTTGTCAGGCCCTGCATAAAACCTTTCCCTAACCCTAACCCTAACCCTACCTACTTTACCGAAAATAAGCCCTGAGCAAATGTGGCTAGAGCGTATATCTGATCACCCGATTCAACTGCATGAGAAGCCTGAAACTGTGTTGAAATATTACCTTATATATACATGTACATGTGTGTATTTTGATTTCTAGTTTCTTGTGTATTGTTTTTTGATGTGCTATTTCTAACCTTCTTGTTTTGGTAGACTAAACCCATCCCTCCTGCTAAACCCAAGAATGTGACTTTCAAAAAAGAGGTGAGAGGTTGCATCTAGCCTAGCCTTGGCACTGGATGAAAACAGGATGAAACTAAAAATATATTCAATGAATATAGCACGCTTAGCTGTATCATCCTACTAAAAAAAATTGTATTACACATACACTGCACTCATCTCATAGAGGAAGAATCATTACCGGTATGAATATTGCATGTCTGACAACATACCATATTAAAAAAAAACACTCTCCACATTCATTTTATGTACCGGTAGTCTCTATTCATATGTGAAAGTAGAAAAGGTTACTAGCTTAGCATCAGAACTACAAATACATTTCGACATGCTTTGCAACACATCATACTAGAAGGAAAAAATCCAGTATTATCACATGTACACTGCGCTCATATAAGAAGAAGGTGATATTAGGTTAGCCCAAGAAAATACATAAGTGTAGTATTATCATACTGAAAAGAAAAACAAAGAAGATTAAAGTATTATCAAATCAGCAATGCACTCATGCGTATTTCCAATGTAATAGTAGAAAAAGAAGATAAGTCACTAGGTTATTCCAAGAAATTCAAATTCAAACTTACACATAATGCAGAAAAAGAAAAAGAAGGAGGAGGAGGATGAAGAAATGAAGGTGAAAACGAAGAAAGAGAATAAGGAGAAGCAGAAGAAGAAGGAAGAGAAGGAGAAGAGAAGAAAGAAGAAGAAGAAGAAGAAGAAGAAGAAAGAAGAAGAAGAAGAAGAAGAAGAAGAAGAAGAAGAAGAAGAAGAAGAAGAAGAAGAAGAAGAAGAAGAAGAAGAAGAAGAAGAGAAGAAGAAGAAGAAGAAGAAGAAGAAGAGAAGAAGAAGAAGAAGAAGAAGAAGAAGAAGAAGAGAAGGAGGAGGAGAAGAAGGAGAAGCAAAAGAAAAAAAAAGGAAGAGAAGGAGAAGAAGAAGAAGAAGTAGGAGGAGAAGAAGAGTAGAAGAAGAAGTTTTTGTTAGGTTAGCACTCGTAATTCAAATAGATCATATCATGCCTATTATCATTTTTTCTCGTTATTTACCACATCATACATTGTAGACAAAAAGTAATTACATTTATAGGTTCACTCAATCAATTCAAATCAATTGTAGCATGCCTGACATTTTACCATCCTAAAAAGTAAAAATCATCTTACAAGTAAATGTATATCATTCAACTTTTCCCTTAAATATGTACATGTATCCTGTACAAGAGAAGACGGTTGACCATTATACCTCGGAAATTAAATTGCATTACAGAGCATGTGAATGTTAAAGGTAATATAAAGTTTTGGTTTGGGGTCATGAATTTGGTTCAAATAAACATATTGGAAGCATATGCGATCCTACGACATTCAGTGATTACTGTAGCGGTTGAAATCAATTCTAAAGTGTTGAAATCGTAAATAATAAACTCTTTATGTAGTTCCCTCTCAAGGTGAAGTTATTAATTAAGCTACAAAACGATGTTTCTTGACTAAAATCGGCCGATTGGCTATTCCCGTTTGGAAATTATATACCACAACAGGATATTGTGAAATTTTCATGGTCGCAGCTACCATTGGATGGCTGTAGGCGCTATTTGAAATTTATCTTAATTTACCGGGAGATTTTTCTTGAAAACAGAAGTGTTTTAAGAGGCTAAATGTTCTAGTCCTTATAATACATCCCCAGGGGCATCCACATATATCAAAATTGTAAAGAATCACTATCCAGCCAATTTTCAAAAATTTCCCCAAACTTTGTATAACGTTTAATCCCTCCAACCCCCTTGGTACAGTATCTGTCCTTTAATTCTTTCAGGACAAGCATTCCACATGTGTTTGGCTCGGTAACTTGTGATACATAGCCCTAAATAATATTCTAGATGCATGAAAAGAAAGAGCAAAAATCTCTGCACATATTGCATCCAATTTGATTGCATGGCCACATCTGTATAATTTTGAGAGGGTACTGTTTTAAAGTACTTAAATTGGCAACCCATCCAGAGGTTTAAAATTAATGTCTTACAATCAAAATTTGTCATCTTTTCAACTTTCATTAGAATTCTTACCCATGTATATAATTTTTCGAGATATTACATTTATAAAGAATGATATAACATTAAAAGAAAAATATTATTGTTGCCAATTTGAAGAATAGTAGGAGATCAATTTAGCCCTAGCTCCTAAAAACATCTATGAAATGCTGCATGTGTATGAAAGTATGTGCTTCCTGACATGAACCTTTTTTTTTTTTTTTTTTTGCTGCATCGGAAATTGATCGGACCACAAAAAATAATCTTGAGACTTTCAAATGGTTAAGAGTGTAAGAGTTCAAAAGGAAATAAGCTATTTTTAGTGAAAGCAAGTGTCTGCATCTTTGACTTGTTTGAATGTTTGCATTGCCCTCCCTCTCTTCCCTCTCCTTTTTGGGGAAAATCTTCATCTTTTGCCCTCATTTAAAAAAAAAGTGAAAACGTTGATAATCCCACTGTAGTCTAAAGAACCAGTTCATTCCCATTCACATTTTATTCAAAACATTTTACCATCCAATGATCAGGTATTTGCATTATATGTACATTATAATCATAATAATATATCATACATATATATATATATTGCATATCACAAATATGTCCCTATGTGCTGTATGGTCATTAATGTTTAAACAAAAATTGTACTTGTGTACAGGGACTTGTTTTTGATGAATGGTTAACTTCTTATTTCATTTTGAAAATTTAGAAATACTCTGCTATACTTTGGTTATTTGTATAATTGTGGAAAAATACAAGTCACCATAGTATAAGCAATGAAGAATTTGTTTTCAATTGATAAGCAAGCATCAGTTTCTTAGGAAAAAATAGGAAAGTGATGAAAAAGAATTTTAGCTTGTATGTTTACTTTTAAATTAAAAAAAATCTTTCAAGAAGTTCTGGTTCATATTTCTTAATTCCATGATCATCACAATCCCATACCTTTTGCAATCAGTTACCTTCATAATCATTCATTTTTACCAGTCTTTGCTTATAAATGAACATATGTTTGTGATATTACTAATAGTACGTAGTTCATTTATTCAAATATGAGAAGTAGATAAACATTATTTAAAGCTTATCTGTGCTAGATTATAGGAGGGATTAGAGCACCCTGCAAGGTCACTGCACAGGTGGTTATATCAGCTCTCAAATAACATCAGAAAAACATAGGAAAAAGAGGATCATGGGGGACCAATGGTCACTGATTAGGCATTGTTTTATATATAGAGGGAGCAAGTAGCTACAAGTAGGACAGTGTGGCTTTAATAAATGAAAGAAACCTTGAAACCTTATCGTGACTGGAACTGAAACAATGACTTAAATGAAGCGGTTGTCTATGATAATTTACTAGTTTCTAACTACTCTTCAGCACAGAGCCTTCATTTTGTTGCATGTTCTTTCATACTATTAATAGATTGAAATGACTTGTCAAAAATTGATCAATGTTGGTCATAAATTTCTATTAATTACATGTAAATAACAATCAAATCTGGTTCTTTGAAGTTCTGTGGTCTAATTCTAATTCTTAATGCAGTCATACCTGTTTATTAAGGCCGCCCACAGGAAACAGAAAGAGTGGCCACTATAGACAGGTTCTAAAACATGTTTCCTTCTTGAGAGAGACAAAACACATGACCACTGTAGACAGGTGACCTTTATAGAGAATTGGCCACTAAGACAGGTTTTGGCTATACTACACCATCATGTTCCAAGAGTGTGACATCCACATATTTTGTGCACCATCTTCTCCTTCACTTTCCTCTTCATTTCCACAGCATCACAGCAGATGATCTTTTTCATTTTTCATTTTTAGCAGGAGCACACATTTTAAATCGCTTAATACCTGTACTTGTTTATTTTCCTTATGTTTACAAGGGGATAACAAAACAATTCTGTGCAATTGATGCAATTTCATCCACTGCACCACAGTATTCAATGCTAGCCATATCACTTTACATTTTTTTGTGAAATTGGGTAGAGTTATTTCAAAGCCGGTATTTGTAAAACTCATTAAAATATCAGAATATGTGTTTTGTTACCCAATTATGACAGTTTCATAATATTTAGTGGCCATTTATATTTTTGTGTGAACTTGATGTTGTTGAGGTTTGCACAAAGCTGGTTTAGGGTGATACTAAGGAGATTTTAGTTCTTGAATGTACATATGTATCTTGATAAATAATTGGTAGCTGTTTCTCCATTTTCAAATATATGTGTACTGATTTCTTCTCAAGTGGTATGTATGTATGTAGTGGTCTATTAAGAGTCAAAAGGGGATTAACTCTATGTTAAAGGCCATCTGTACTAGTTTGGCTAGGAGGGATTAGACCACCCAGGAAGGTCACTGACAGGTGGTGATCTCATTAACTCAGCTCTCAGTTAACATGAGAAAAAGAGGATCATGGGGGACCAATGGTCACCGATTAGGCATTGTTTTCTATATAGAGGGAGCAATTGGCTACAAGTAGTACAGTGGGCCTTTAAATGAAATGAGTTAAACCCTTGTGCCTCTTACCAGACGTAGAGATGTCTAGATGGGTGTGTTGGGTCCTTGGTATCTCACTTTCTAAGGATGTTTTTTCGTTTGGTTTTCTTCCCATCAGGTTACCCAGTCCACGTCATCTTCTTCCCAACCACCGACTCCTACCAGTACCATTGTCTCGGCTTCGAACGGTACGTCTCAGAATACCTCCCCGGACAAACGCAAACCAGACGAGAACTACTACAGCAGCGTGACTTCCTTCGAGAGCCAATACTCGGCTCGTTCGTCGGGCACGCACCCCACGAGAAACAGCAGCGGATCCCCCGCAAGGTCGGAACCCGGTAGCAGTCGCAATAATGATTTGACGCCAACGGGTCGCGAGTTTGTCGAAGAGTTCCCGTACCAGGGCATGCCGGGTGAGGACGTTGGATATAGAAGACAGAACTCTAACGAGAAGGGCACCCTGAGGACGGGGAAGGCATCGCCGCTTAACGAGCGCCCTCAGAGTCTGCCCCCATCCAGCCCCACCCATACTGGCGACATCGGCGAGCGTAGGTTGTCGCTCTATGATAATGTGGACATTTATTACAATGCGCATTACGAGCAGAGCATGGAGGAATCTCTTGAAGCGGTTGGCACACCAACACCAAAGGCTCATGCGCAGGACGGGATGTTCTACGTGACCGGGATTCCGAACGATCCTCGAGTGGCAGGGATGTCGCAAGGGTTGAACCAGGCGGCAAGCACTGAAATTGGCAATACTTCCACTAACTTCAAGACCTACCCCGAGCCCGTTCAAGCTCCAGGGACCTCCTCGCAGCTGAGCTCTCCCCCACCCCCGACCAAACCTACCAGCTTGGGTAACCTCCAGTCCTTTGAGGTACAGAAGACCACGCATCACTATCAGAAGAGGACATCGTGGGAAGGTTCGCAGTCACAACCAGGTCGTAGTCCTAGCCGTAGCTCTGGTGCGACGGCATCCGCTTCAGCTCGTAGCCCTGGTGCGACGGCATCCGCTTCAGCTCGACCTGTACGTGCATCCCCAACGCGATCATCCCCGACCCGCAACAAACCAGCTAGTCCCATCAACGGGGTTCAATACTTTCATTCACAGGTCACCTATATATGAAAAAAACCTCTCCAGCTTAAGGTCAAAGGTCGAAGCTCGAAGGTCATCAAGGGTCGAATGTCAGGATGGGACATGATGAAAGGTATACAGGACCAACTTGTGTGTAAAAGTTCATCAGCCAACATGTAGGAGCAATGTAATTAAACAAACACAACACAACTTAAAGTAGTAATTCATGGGGTCAAAGGTTGAAGGTCACCTCCAAATTGAGAATGCTAATTAACACTCTGTGTCTGTTATTAAAGGGGGTTGAAATTTCTTATTTTTAGAAACACATACAGTTACCTCAAGGTATTAGTTTCTTTTCTACAAGCAATTTTCAACAAATTTTTGAAGATTGCATTTGTTAAAGGAAAATATGAATATATCTTGACTGTATGGCAGTTGATGTGTGTAGCAATTAACTTTTTGATATTAATTGTGATTATTCAAATTGTTTGAAAGAGCTAAATGAAAAGATGACAAAAATGAACCTACAAGAGAAATTTCTCAATATTACTAGCTAATTATTTTGATAAATAGGGTGATATTTTGATGCCAAATGAAATGTTACAGATCACAGACATATACAGTCAAATACATATAGGATTGTTCTGCCTCCCCCTTGTTGTGTTGTTTGATATTGAAATATTTACTTTTCACTTTTGACAAACACACTGTGAAATAATTATATAAGTGTGAATTGATGGTTGATTTTCAATATAGCTAGTCTGGAAATAATCATGACTATTTTTATTCTCTTGAATTATAACTATTACATAAAATTCTTCATCAGGAAAGGTTTGGAAAGGTTTCTAGCTTTTTCGGTTGACTTGTATTTTAATAGTGACACTATCGTGATCCATTTTGATTAGCCGATGAATTTAACTGATCTTTGCTTTGTCAAAATTATGTTAAAATGACGTTCATATTCATGATTTTATAGAAATACTTCTTGCGTATTAATCTAAATCTTTGCAACTTCCTATTGTTCCGTCTAACTCTATTTACACATATACATCTATGTATAACCAAAGAGAGAGAGAGAGTGAGAGATTGGTGTCATGTATCTTCACCGACCAAATCTAGCCCCTTAGAAGGTACACAAAGACAAAGAAAGGATATATACCAGTCTGTGGCAAGGTGCATACTCTAAGTAATATGTGTCTCTTTTTGTAGCAGGTACAGTTAACAGCTAAATTATTCATACCCCTTGTATTAAAATTTGATGTTTTTTGTGTTTCTCGGAACACAAGAATGAAAGGTGGACTGGTTGAATTAGGGCTTGTGTTGAATAGTTTTAGGTGTAAGCTTTAATATGTCACATTCTCAAGAAACCTAAATGGAGACAAATCAATTTTTCACATACTTAAAATGAAAAAACTTGGTAAGGGTATGAATAATTTAGTTGTTAACTGCATATGTATGGATAATCTTACTTCACGTGCAAACTATCAATGTATATAGTGTATATTTATTAGATATAGGAGAACGTTTGTACCCTATTTCTTAACTTTTATAAAAACCATTTGATAGAGGATTCTTTGTTTGTGCCATAAGTGTATATTAATACCAATGGTCGTTTTTAAGCACTGTGGTTATTTTCATGGGAAATGTTTATTGTAGTTGTATTTCCTTTTGTGTACGATGTGTACGATTGATAAAAAAGGTTTATATCCCCCGTTCCACCTCCTTCAGTGGTTGTATCCCCATTGTTCACTTGTGTTGTTGTTGTTTGAATAATGTATACTTTTGTGATAAGAGAGGTCATGTTGTTAATAGTTTGTAATGGTTAGAAAAATTACAAATCGTTAAAGTTTAAATCGCGTATTAAAGCTGCAACAATATTTGCTCAGAAAAAGTAGCAGTTTATTTAGGGCATGGCTCGTGAACCTCTGTATAATGGTACCAATAGCCATATCCCAGCTTTAAAAATGTATTAAATTTTCATTCCCCCCCCCCCCTTCTCTCTAGATCTCTCCGTCTTCTAACTTGTTTTGATAGTTTTGATAATGCCATTAAATGAAAGAAGAACATGGTAATGTCTTCATTTGAATCTGTTTTAACAATTCTTATTTTAGGCAAAATAGTTCTGTAGAAAAAGGCTTTACCTTATATAAGACAATCATATTATATTCAGGGCTATGTCATATATAATGTGTATATCAACTCTTAGCAGCAAATTAATTGATGATTCTTTAAAAAGATTTCAATCAATAGACCAGTTTTATGGTTAGCAAATGTCCCAAATGACCCTGAATATCCACAGATCTTCAAAACATGAAGAGGTCACCCTTTGTACATTTTGAAATAATCACTCCTACAGCGATGGAGGTGCTTCATGAATAGCCTTTGTTTCCCCATTTCAAAGCATACTTCCACCTGTGTATCATGGAGTGCACTGATCGTGCATAAATGAATATAGTTACATAACTTTCATGAGCACGTATCCATTATTTTGTCTCCGTGTATTTCACAATTTGTTCTGCAATGACCTTTATCTGCTCATGCTCAGACTGTAACTATGAACTGGCTTATTGCTCAATGAAAAGCTAGCAAAGGTGAGTTTTGGTGAACAAATATTCATGTCACCTAACAAGCATTTGTCTATAAACATACATGTTATAGTTATCTATGATTAACATTGAGGAGCATAACTTTGAATGCTATGGTTTTTGTTTGTTTATTTATAGTATGAATGTATCTGTTATTGTAAAATTATAAAGTAATGCACAAATTGCTGATATTTGGCAATAAATAACCCTTTCAAGAAGAGGTTTTTAGCATTTAGTTTTAGCGGGAAATGACATTAAATTTGACTTTTTTTTTTTTATTAGAGTTAAATTCAGGTACTATTTCATCATATTAGTAGTAGGATCTAAATGACCTCACAATTTTGTTCTTCTTACAAGCGAGCCTACAAAGTAACTACTGTCAATAATATTTTGATGTCTTTGAAATACAAACTTTGATCTGTTAATCTTTTTTTATTGATACAAATAAAAAGTATGTGAACAACTGAACATAAGGTTTTGTGGGAAGGTTGTTTACAAGTACAATTAGACGTTTTTCCGTAGAATTGCAATAATATTTGTTTTTTTAATTGTAGTGGTGTGGAGAAAGGACTATAAGGCGGTAAATCATATTTTCTTAATTTGATGTGAAGTGTATGCTCTTTGTAGAAAGAGCAATGTAAGTGTCAAAAAGACGTATGTGTTCTGTCAAAGGCCTGTCATAATTATGTAGCTTCCCAGCTCTCGTGATTGATAATTGAGAGATTAGCGCAGTACATCTTCACCCATCACTGATAGTTTGAAGAGTGTAAACTTTGGAAGATGATACATATTCTATCTACTTTGGAGAGTTGTAACAATCGCGAGTCAGATTTTGAGCAGTATTCTATTTCTAGAAACAACAGCTATGTTATCAAAAATTAGATATGGATTGTTGACATTTTGTTAAGGCATACGGCAATTTTTCTTCTATTTTTTATTTTTTATTGAAGGATGGATTTTTCATGGACATTTCTCTTCATTATCTTTTCAAAACAATTTTTTTTGGCAGAATTGTGTATCAACAGTGATAACCTGAAACTTGGGATTGAAAGTTTGTGTTACATGTGTTTGTATTAGTACATTTATTTTTTTTTTACTTGATACAAAAATATCATGTATCTATTGTATTCAAATTTGATCATTGCACGCCAATTGCATAGGTTTGGTTAGTAGAAGAAAAAAAGTGAGATGCGGAGAATCTGTTGTCGAATATTTCTGAGATTTGGTGTTTTTTGTTCATTAGTATGTTTATATGCTTATTATTTTGAACAGAATATTTGATCGGAAAAGGTAAAGCGTTTGTTTTCATTCAATACTTTATGAATTTATGCTATGCTTTTTCTATTTCTACTTTTAATTTGAATTGTCCATATGAAGCTGTTGGGAATTATAGCTATGAATTTGTTGTAAATTAATATATAAACGTAATCCTTTTTGTTTTAGAGACTAGTGTATCTCCCATTTTCCTTGTCTAGTTTGTAAGAAATATATCTCTTTCTTTTTCTCTATGCCTTGTGTTACTTGTTTTATGTTAACTGAGATGTGTTGTTCCTCTTGTGTAGCACTCCTTTATCTATCCCTTTCCCCCTATTTTGTATTTTCTCCTTTTCATCTCTATCCTCTTTTTCTTCATCTTTCTTGATATTGTGCTTTGTGTATTACAAAGTGTGTGTGTGTCTCTCTCTGTCTTTCTTTTATTATTTCTCACTTAATATTATTTACCTCTCTGTCTGTCTATCCCTCTCTCTCTTTCTCTCTCTTTCTCTCTCTTTCTCTCTCTTTCTCTCTCTCTCTCTCTCTCTCTCTCTCTCTTCTTTCTCTCTCTTTCTCTCTCTCTCTCTCTTTCTCCCCCTCTCTCTCTTTCTATGTATCGCTCTCTCATTTCTCACTGAGTATGATTTATATGTTCGTCTCTCTTTTATTATTATACATCTTTCTATCTGTCTCTCTATCTATCTCTCTCCTCTCTCTCTACCTCTCTCCCTCTTTCTATGTATTGCTCTCTCATTTCTCACTGAGTATTATTTATATGTCTGTCTCTCCCTCTCTTTTAGTATTAGATATATTTCTATCTCTCTCTCTCATTTCTCACTGAGTATGATTTACATGTCCGTCTCTCTTATAGTATTAGATATCTTTCTATCAGTCTCGCTCTCTCTTTCTCTTTCTACACTTTTATCTCTCTCTCTCTTTCTCTTTCTTTCTCTCTCTCTCTCTCTCTCTCTCTCTCTTTCTTTCTGTCCCTCTCTCTCTCTCTCTCTCTCTGTCTCAGTTTGTTTGTCTGTTTGTTTATATCTCTCCATTCACATGTCTTCTGTTTCTTTATATTACATGTACCTCATTCCATTCCCACCCTATCCAAATTTAGATATCCTCAATTTATTGTAGAAATTTTAGTGACAACTTTATCCTTCTACTTAGTTATACAATGTACATTTAATAGATATATCTGTTTGCTGTTCTACTCTATCCAACTCCGAGTGTCACTAAAGCCATATTTTGCCATATATGTAAAAAAAAAAAAAATGTTATCAATATTTTTCAGGACAGCTCTAGCAATACAGTGTGTTGTTATGTCTATGCTTTATAGGCTATATTGCTATTGTCTCTCTGTAATTTTACATATTTTGTAAATGTATTTTTTCTTTCCTTTAACAGCTACGCTTTCATCGTTATTATGTATCTATTTGACAAGAAGCAGCATATATGTTACGATTGGCATAGCAACATTTAATTTTTGAGTGATGTAAATGTATTGATTGGAAATTAGTTCTCATAAATTGAGAGAGCATAATTTTTATTTTATTTTTGTTGCTGTTATTTGGTATCGACTGCCTATGATTTGCGTGTAAATTTGCCTGCAGAGTCCTTTTGTGAAGATGTAATTTTATTTTCAAGATTTTGTGAGATATTCTGTGAAATGAACGAGAAAACGCATCTTTGGCATACGGTTTAAGGAGTGATGTTATATGGCTAACATAAAAGCCATTTGGAGTTGTATTGAAACCCCTTTTATCATGAAATAATGTACATTATACACATTGTGAACATCTTTACATTATGATACTGATGATGACGATTATTCTTACTATTCTTATTATGTTTGAAGATTTAGAGTAATATATGTGGGATAGAGAAAGAGGTCAATAGTCTATTGTTTCTTTATTCATTTTTGTTTGCCTGGATTTGTTAAAGAAAAGTTGAGATTGTCTATTTCACACACTGACAAAATAGCCTTTAAACTCTTAGTCATATGGGGAGACAAGAGGACCTACTCTTGAACCACATTTTGATGATGATGATGATGATGGTAATGATGATGGTAATGATGGTGGTAGTGATGATGATGGTGATGATAACGATTATGATGATTATGATCATGAAAACGATTATGATGATTATTGTAATGATTAAGATCATGATGATGTAGTGATTGTGGTGTTGGTTGTGGGGGAAGTTGGTGATGGTGAAGGTGGTGTGGATGGTGGTAATGATGATGATAATGGTTAAGATGATTATTGTGATGATTATGATCATGATGGTGATAATATATGATGATCATGATGATGTAGTGATTGTGGTGTTGGTTGTTTGGGAAGTTGGTGATGGTGAAGGTGGTGTGGATGGTGGTGGTAGTTATGATACCGGAGTGTTGGCTCGTTCAGTAGAGCGTCCGCCTCTCAACCGAGAGGTCGTGGGTTAGAACCCCGGCCGCATAAAAGATGTCAAAAGATGGGAGTTGCTGCTATACCTTGTTTGGCGTTCAACAATAAGGGGATAGAGCAACGTCGATCTGGCGCTGCTCAGTGGCTGTCGGGCTCACGATCAATCGGGCAAAAAGAATTTCCGTTTCGGTTTAATAAAATTTGGAGTGGACTAAAAGATTAGTATTATTATTATTATTACTGGTATGATGCTGATTATGAAAAGTGGTGGTGATGATCATGGGGATATTGATGCAGGGGCGTACGCAGGGGGGTTTGGGGGTTGAACCCCCCTTTGATATTTTTTTATGTATGTAAACCCACCTAAAACCCCTCTAAACTCCCCCTTGTTTTGTTTTGTGTTTTTTTTTAATTAAAAATTAAAAAAAAAGATAAATTATGCCCATGGCTGACCTAAAAAAGGTGACCTTACCTCCCCCCAACGAAGAAAAATGTCAAATTTTCAAATTTCGAGACCACACACAAAAAAAGTGTCCTCTTACCCCCCCCCCCCCCCCCCCCCCCCCCCCCCCCCCCCCCCCCCCCCGAGCGACTTTTCGGCTGGCTGAGTCGTCGCGATTTTTCTTTGGACTCCCCCAAAAAACAAAAAAAAAGTGTCTGCTTAATTTTCGGGAGCAAAATAATAAAGCTGAGTCGTTGCGAAATTTTGGGCCCGATTTAAAAAAAAACCCTTGAAAAAATCCTGCGTACGCCCCTGTATTGATGAGAGCTGCAAAATAACGTTGGGATTTCCAGTGACTTGAAAACTTTGTTAAAAGAAAACAACAAATTTTTCCCCCAACAACTCTGAATGTAAAGTGATGATTCCAATGTCTGGAAAATTATGGATTTAGGGTGATTGTTTATCGTAATGAGATCGAAACAGGGCGAAACAGATGTAAAATATGAAACTAGACGATGTTTCAATGAATGATCGAGGAATAAGTCTACACAATTTGTTTGTAATAAATAATGTTTGTTGTTTAGACCCGAGAGGTCGCTCTTCTGCTTGATGCGTAGCTAAATTAGAGCATGGACCTACTAATGATTATTAGAGGAACATGATTTTCCTTTTCGACCATTTAAAAGGAAAGTCTTCTCTATTCACTGATATCTTGAATTACGTTTTACATTGTTTAGATTTTGGTTTATCATCCCTATCCCGCTCTCACAATCTCGCTCTCTCTCTCTCTCTCTCCACTTCTCTCCCTCTATCTTTCTAACCATCTCTCCCCCCCTCTTTGTCGCTCTCTCTCTCTCTCCCGCCCCCGCCCCCCCCCCACTCGGTGTTATTTAGGGTACGCATATGCTTGTTCCCTCTTTTTGAAAGCACCCCCTATCTGAGGACTGCCAACATTTCCGAACCCCCCTTTCGCAGGCTTTTCGCGGGCTTTTTCTGCCTTGGAGACCCCCCTAAATCATGAAAAATGCTCAATACCCCCTAAATTCAGAATAATTTCTCAGGAGTCCAAAGAGATGAGAGAAAAAAAGAAAAACACCCCCTTTTTAAAGAAATCTCCGGGTGAAAAGCTAATACACCCCTTTTTTTTTTACAATTCTCGGGCCGGACTTTGTCGCACGCAAAGTACCCTTTAAGTAAAGGACACCTTTTTTTCTTTTTTTTTTGGTCTCGAAATATGAAAATTTTACATGGTCACCTTTTTTAGGTCAGCCATGATTTTTTTATATTTTATTTAAAAAAAAAAAAAAAAAAAAAAAAAAAAAAATCCAAAGGGGGGGGGGGGGGTAGGGGGGTTTACACACATAAAATTATCAAAGGGGGGGGGGGGGGGGAAGGGTTCAATACTCTTGTAACAAACAAAAAAATGTTCACCGTGTGTCATGTTTGTATATCGATGTAGCTGTCTTTAAACAAAAAACGTGGCTGTATCAATTTCATTCTATGCTGCACGACCGACATTAGGGACTTTTAGATTTGCGTGGACTGATACATGTACGTGTGACGTCCATTCAAGGCAGTGCATTAAAAGGACGTCAATCGTACCAATCCCCATTGTCTTCGTGCGAATCTAAAAGTCCCCATTGATCCCTGTAAACCTACGCCTACGCAGTGGTGGATGTTATACATGACTGTCTCCTTGATACTTCATCTTTTAATATGTTTAAAAGGCTGTCTCTACAAAACCCCGTCTTAATTGGAAAATAAAGTCGCGGTGACATTAGGGACTTTTAGATTGTGCACGACGAGAACATGGACTGCCTTTAACGGCAATGTGACGTCACTGTCAGTGCCTTAAAAGGACGTCACATTACTTTAACAGGGCAGTCTACGTTCTCGTCGTACAAAATCTAAAAGTCTCTATTTACCCACTTCCAATTAAGACGCGTCAATCGGGGTAACGTCCGGACAATATCGAGGTAAATCTCACCCTAGTCGAGCCAGGGTGATATCGGCTTTTTTTTTCAACAAAAAAAATCCAAATAAAATTTAACATTCGAAAATATGATAAAAATGTTCTGCTCGCAGTATTAAATTGACTCGGTATCATTGTTGACGGTTGATGAAAAAACTGCGTATTTTTTTGTATGAAATGTTACTTATTATATTCCTTCTACTGTACTAACCCTCTAACATTAAAACAAATCCTGAAAATTTCTCAAACCACAAAGATATTTATGGTTTTCTTTGAAGGCGTCACTGTTCGACAGCCTCTAAACAGTGAATTTTCCCAACCGTTTTTCCATGAAAATATGACATAAGACAGGCTTTAACAAATCTTTCAACACTTAAATGTCTGGAATGGTATACAGAGCCAATTCATTGCTTTATGACGAATTACATTCACCTTAAATTTAATTAAATTGTAATAATAAAGTTGTGAGAACTAAGGAATCGATCAGATCAGTTTTTTCCCAAATTTATCATTAACAATATGGTCTATTTTCACTCAAACTTTCAGATTATCTTTTATTGTAAATCTAGCGTTGAAGTCATTACCTTAGCACAATTTTCTCTCATCTGAACAATGTTACAAAGTCCCTTTAATGTGTTACAAATTGATTTGCATCAATAAAATTGTTTAGCGTGGAAAAGAGGATTACCTACAGGATTTCGATTCCAAAAGGCACTAAATCCATGAAAATTAGAATGTAAAAAAGAAATCTGAAAATAAAAATTAATTGCTAGATCTTCTTTAAAGATAGTCAACACTATATATATATATATATATATATATATATATATATATATATATATATATATATAATGGCCATATATACCCCTGCCATGTATGCAAAACAGAAGTGAAAGTGTCAAAAACGCCAGAAGTGGATTTAACTCCTTTTGGAATGAAGCTCTTCAAATATAAAGGTACATCCATGTTTAATGTAACATATATCAGGTCACTACATTATGAGTACCATTATCATTGAAACCCTGATTCTGGTTTGCCTTTTGGCTTTTCACTTTACAGCGTTTTACATCACAAGCCCAGCGATCGAGGAGCAAAAAATTTCGAAAATTTCGACGAAAGTGCACGTTAGTGGCGGCATATATGAATGGATTAATGGTGGATTTATACCACAAGAGTAAATTTTTGGCCTCCCACATCCTGTCCGAAATGCAGTTGGTGTTGCAAACAGCATACATTATGGTCGTCACTTGATAAGGTAACCAGCAGAGCAGGAAACACCCGATCAGGATGGACAGAACGAAAGCTGCTTTCCGGTGTCTTGCGAACATCCGACCTTCTTTCTTTGAATGTGTAGATAGTAAGTCTTTGAGGGTTTGCTCCCCATCTGCGTGACTTTCGATTGGATCAGCAGCTGCGTTGGCAGCAGGATTATAGGATTCGATCCCTTGGCTAGCTGGCTCTTCCGAATGGCAGTAGTTTCCTCGTCGGGGTGATCTGGTATTCTGCTTGTTTCTCTTTTTGGGGGACCTAACCGACATATTTGTTGCAGGACTTTGTCCCACGATACCTGTGGATCTCCGTTTGATATTGATATATACAACAACGTTGAGGATGATTAGGATTGTAAACGGAATGAAAAACTCAAATATGTTCATGATAAGCGTTGCGGCCACGCTGTATGTGAATTCCATTTCGCAGTGTTGTGAATAATCCACGTTGTATTCTCCTGTGATAGGGCTCCACGCGAACGTCACGAATGAGTACCACAGACCAAGGGACATCCAGGCAACGAAGAGAATCACGCCAATACGCTTCTTAGTCTGAAACGTCTTATACCGCATCCCCATCGTCACAAGACAGTAACGGTCCCAGCTGATCAGCACCATGGTTATCACGGACATCATGGTCACTACGAAATCTACCGTTATCAAGAGCTTGCAAAAGACTTCGCCATAAGCCCAGTAGCCTTTCACGATCCAGGAAGTATTGATGGAAATGATGAAAGTACAGACGATGAAGTCCGTGACTGCAAGGTTCAGGATGAAGATATTTGCCACATTGCTTCTGATGCGTTGATCCCGAAAGTAAGCTGCAATCACCATCATATTTCCCATGACTGTGACAGCGATTATGATTGATAGAGTCAAGGGTACTGTGGCCAGCCATGCCGTTGAATGCGTCTGTTGCCTATTTACATCATACGAATCATACGAATCATAAGAACTGCTGGATCCACTTGGATTAATATAACTTGCGTTTTCCATCTCGATAAAAATAAGTGAAATCTACTCCCCAAGATGAAATTTTTGCCAAAAGTCACTTGAATAGCTTTATTTTTTAATCACCAACCTTTCTGCCAACTTGGGAACTCTAGGTCTGACGGTGTCAGACCTTAGAAACTGAAGAGCGCTGTCTTGTTTTCCCCAAGGCGTCGACTATAAGTTTTTTTTTCGTCTTAACCAACGTTTAATGTATTGATGTATTAATGTGTTTTCCTTTATGATGAACATTTTGATTCAGACAATCACGCGTATAGGAAGCTCGCTCGATCATTGGACGACGTTTTAAGTGCCACTTTGTTTCGTTTTTAACGGCGCCTTATTGACACTGTCAATCTAATGTGGTAACCATGGAAAAACACAATGGAATCATCAACGGCGTACGTCTCTCGCTGTCGTGTAAAATATAAAATAGATGAAAAATTTGTTAGACCTGTTAAATCAATTTAATGTCAGGAGATATAAGCCACGGCACGGTTAATTGTGTAATGATTACAGTATTTTAAAATTTTCTTGTAAAAAAAAGTCTTACCTGAGAAGTGGCTACAACTGAATGGATATGTTACTGCTGATAAAAACAAGTTGTCGTGGGTTTTATATAAATCTAACGCCCACGCCACAATATAATCGAGCTCCGTGTGAAATCAGGTTTTTTTTGTATTGGTCTGCTAGCTTTAAATGACTTCCGCCCAGGGGAGGGGTTAGTTCAAATAGACCACTGTATCAGTGTATGAAATTATATTATTAAAATATAAAATACAAACAAACAAATCCAGAAATAAAGTGCTTGGACACGATTGAAATTACGATGTCACTTGGCAACTATTTAATTAAAGGGACTTGGTAACATTGTTAAGATGAGAGAAAATTGTGCTAAGGTAGTTGACTTCAATGCTAGATGTACAATTAAAGATAATCTGAAAGTTTGAGTGAAAACGGACCATTATTAATGATAAAAATTGGGGAAAACTGATCTGAATGATTCCTTAATCCTCCCAACTATATTATTATAGCCTGTTTTAAGTCTTAATTTGATGGGAAAACGGTTGGGAAAATTCAAAAATTGGTTGGGAGAATTTACTGTTAGAGGGTGTTGCACAGTGACGCCTTCAAAGAAAACCATACATATCTTTGTGATTTGAGATTTGTTTTCAGGATTTTTTGCATGTTAAAGGGTTAGTACAGTAAAAGGAATATAATAAGTAACATTTCATGGAACACTAACGCAGTTTTTTCATCAACCTTCAACAATGTTACCGGTTCACTTTAATATGAAGAACAAATCTCATTCATCCAATCAGCATGATAAAGATGCAACTTATATACATATGTCAATAACAACAGTTGCAATGAATATAATTGTGAGGTATTCTTTAGAACTTAGGGGCGACTTACTTCTTACTTAATTAATTCACGGTCTAAGGGGAAGGGGAGGGAAAGGTTCAGGGAGATGAGTTTAGTAATTATGGCCACTTATCTTCGCTTATATTTTGATCGCGGACTTGAGCTTGGGACGGGATGCGACTTGGATTTGGAGGAACTGGAATTTGACGGGAACGGAGCTGGACGTGACTTGGAGGAACTGGAACTTGACGGGAACGGAGCTGGACGTGACTTGGAGGAACTGGAACTTGACGGGAACGGAGCTGGACGTGACTTGGAGGAACTGGAACTTGACGGGAACGGAGCTGGACGTGACTTGGAGGAACCGGGACTCGACGGGAACGGAGCTGGACGTGACTTGGAGGAACTGGAACTTGACGGCAACGGAGCTGGACGTGACTTGGAAGAACTGGAACTTGACGGGAACGGAGCTGGACGTGACTTGGATGAACTGGAACTTGACGGGAACGGAGCTGGACGTGACTTGAAGGAACTGGAACTTGACGGGAACGGAGCTGGACGTGACTTGGAGGAACTGGAACTTGACGGGAACGGAGTTGGACGTGACTTGGAGGAACTGGAACTTGACAGGAACCACACGAAATAACAACACCTTGTTTATTCGGAAGATTTTATCAAAAAATCACAATACTGCAGAGGTTTTTTTTTGCTTTTTGGTAGCGGTCACCCCTAAATCGGAGGGGGGCTTCCAAAAAAGTGGCCCTTTTGACGAAAAAAAATATTTTGTAAATAATATTTCAAGACAATCTTGAATCACCATGAGTTTGGCGTCATATGAAAGAAAAAGAAATTGTCTACAATTTGATACTAATTTTTTTTGGACAATTTTTTCTAAGTACGAGGACAATGTTTTGTGCGAAGGAGACGCTTATATCTCATTTCAGTAAAATTTTATAGCAACCCAAAGTTATTGACTTGACTTGACTTCTACAAAAATGACATTCCACGTATGAGTATTAACTGTATGCAGTATAAGTGTAATGATGGCGTGTTTGGTGTGTTTAAATCGAGTTTTAGAGATAATTTTTTAAGTTAAATCTCAAATCGCCATGGGTCTGGTGTCATTATGATGGATAATTTAAAAACCTCTCAACTTGATGTCAATTTCATTTTCATTGAGACATGTAGCGTGTGAAATGTGCTATTTTGTGGATATGTTTTCCCCTAAATGTTGTCTTTGTGAAAATCAAGTTAATAACTTTGGGAGACACAAGGCCTCATAACTATTATTATATTCCACATACTAAGAGTCTTGCTCTACGATTGGTCAAAAGTAAATCACGTGATGAAAGATAGTTCGCCCATTGTTGATGGGAGAAGCAAAAAAGTTCGTTACACTGTGTAGATAGTATTACTATCTACACAGTGCAACGCACTTTCACTGAAGATTATCCAAAAGCGCACTAAAACAGGCGTAATTAAGCGCGCATTACCAATGAGCGCAATTAAAGCAAACACATGCGCGCACCATACCCTCAAGGGGTTGGGTTAAACTTTTAACTTTTTTGGTGTGAATTTGGGCCTGGTGTCTTTTATGTAGATGCATACACGTCCTTTTCTTTTTGTAGTTAAATTGTTTTAGATGTGGAATATAAAGCAAATAATCACCTTTTGGTTTCAGGCGATGGCAAACTATCACTTCCTCGTCGACCAGAATGTATACACTATCTTTCCTCAGCTTCGACGTCGATCGTAGCAATCCCCATTGTCTTTGTGCGAATCTAAAAGTCCCTATTATCATTATGACGTCGCTCCTTTTGCTAAACGTGAAGTATGAAGTATGAAGGTTGATTGGATTGGGAACACGAGCGAATGAAATGTCGTGAGGTACGTGTCAATGAATAGACAACAATAGGGCCTTTTAGATTTCTTGTATAAAGATCAGTTCTGGTCACGCGATTGCAATGAAGAAAAACTCTTCGGGTAAGGCACATTGTGTCTTGGTACATAGTAATACATGTAATAAGCAAATAACTACCGTTGGTGAAGGTGATGAGACAAACTATCACTTCCGAGGCGATCTGGATGTAGCTATCTTTCCGAAGCGAAGTATGAAGTATGAATGTTGATTGGATTGGGAGCACTGCCTTGAATGGACGTCACACGTATCAGTCCACGCAAATCTAAAAGTCTCTAGTGTTTTCTGTTCATGAACACGTACCTCACGACATTTCACTCGTTCGTGTTCCCAATCCAACCAACCTTCATACTTCATACTTCACGTTTCATAATTCATGCTTATGTTTACTTTCTTTCCCTTGTCTCGTTAATCTCCTCTCTCAAGCGCTCCCTCTCTCACACTCTCTCAAAAGTGCACTCTCTCTCTCTCTATCACACACTTTTTGATTTTGATTTTGATTTATTGGTTGCTTTTTTTCTTTTTCAACATACATTTTCACGAACATAGGACAACTATCCCCGGACAACTATCCTACGGGTATTTTTCCGGGGATAGTTGCCTAGAGGATGGTTGTCGTAGGGGTAGTTGTCCGGGAGGTAGTTGTCGTAGGGGGTAGTTGTCTGGGGATAGTTGTCCAGGGGTAGTTGTCGCAGGGGGTATTTATCGTAGGGGTAGGGGTAGTTGTCGTTGAGGGTGATTCTCCTAGGGGTGGTTATCCAGGGGGTAGTTGTCCTAGGGGGTAGTTGTCTGGGGGTAGATGTCCGGGGGTAGTTATCCTAGGGGGTAGTTGTCCGGGGGTAGTTGTACCAGGGGTAGTTGTCCTAGAGGGTGGTTATCCGGGGGATGGTTGTTCTGGGGGTAGGTGTCCTAGAACCATAATGGTCATTCATACAAATAAAAATACAATTCGCATACAAAACATTCTCTGGCTTTTTCCATAAAAAATACAAAGTGTCAAATAAACAAGTATTAAAACAGAATCACAAATGAGAATAAGAAATACAAATGTATATAATTATCGGCTGTGTCACCGCTGTTGAATATGTTGGAATGAACATGGTGTTGTATTTACCGTGTTCCTGACCGATATAAAGAACTAAAATAAAGGAAACAGTGATGGTTTGAAAGTTTGTATATTTATCATCACAATGAACCAAATTACTTTTTGATGCAGTAGCGTTTTCATATATTTTTTTAATGCTGCATATCGTTAAGTTGCTGTGTTTTTTAGACTGTTTTAAATGCTCTTTTTGTTTGTTTATTTATTTTTATTTCTGCATTTTCAAAATGAAACATAATCATATACATAAAGTAACAAATATTTCTTCATTTTACATGATTATACATTTTTAAGTACATTGAATAAGATGCATACAAACACAAATATAATTTCAATGAAAAAAAAGAAAAAAAAGAAAGATAAATTACAGAAAATGCAGGAGACCGCCATCATGAGCGGTAAGCTTGAAATCGATGGCGGCCTCGAGAGAATAGCGGCAAACTCTTAAAAAATATAGTTGTACACACGAAATTGATCAAGTGGGTGCAGTGAAAGTGCATGTGCAAGTGCGAATAGGGTTCTGGTATGTAATGTTTATAATACAATACTATTGTATTTTAAGAATTAATAAATTAAAAATATATTCGAATTAAGAGACGAAGTTTAATGAATAACGATTTTGTATGAGGATATAATGTGACGTTTTAGTGTCGCTTTAAAAGAATAAAGGGTCGAGCATGATTTAATTAGTTGAGATAAATTGTTCCATAAATCGGGGCCATGGTGTCTGATTGATTTATGTGTAATCAACAATCTGGGGTTAGTTAAATGAAAATTCTCAGAAATACGAGTTGGATAAGAATGAATTGTATTATTATGAACAAAAAAATTATCGAATGAAGGTGGCAGTTGCTTATTCATGTATTTGAACATAAAAATTGCAACTTGGAGAGTATGTAAGTCAGTGACTTTTAAGGTTTTTAACTTAAGAAATAATGGGTCTGTATGGGCTAAAAAAAAAGAGATCCAGTACAAATACGCAATGCCCTTTTTTGTAATAAAAGAATTGAATTAAGTTTGGTTACACCACAATTTGCCCAAACAATATTACAATATGTTATATATGGAAGTACTAGTGTGTTATACAATAAAAATAACGTAGTATGGGGCAAAAGAAATTTTAACTTATTTATTATTCCAACACTTCTCGATATACACATAGATACATAATGTAAGTGATCATTCCATGTTAAATTTTCGTCAATAAAAACTCCTAAAAACTTTAATGTCCTTTTTTGTTCGATTGCCATATTATCAATTTTAAAATTAATACGGAAATTAGTCAAATGAGAATTATAGTGTTTAAAGTGCATAAAATGTGTTTTTCTTATGTTTAATGAGAGCTTATTACACTTAAACCAGTTCGAAACTTTGTGTAATTCACAATTTAAAATATTCACTAATGATTCTAATTTCTTATGAGAGCAAAACATATTTGTGTCATCTGCAAAAAGAATAAATGACAATAAAGAAGATGTGTTGGATAAATCATTTATGTATAAAAGAAATAACAGTGGGCCTAAAATGGAGCCTTGGGGAACGCCACAATTAACGGAAAGTAAATCCGAATTAAGACAGTTAAAATTAACATATTGTTTTCTATTTGTTAAATAATCCTTAAGATATGAGAGGACTTGGCCCCGAATACCATAAAAAGAGAGTTTTTTTAGTAAAATATTATGATCGAGCGTATCAAACGCTTTACTGAGATCTAAAAAAATACCAATTACGTGTTCTTTATTTGCTATGGCATTAGTAATCTTATCATAAATTTGTACTAAGGCCAAGTCAGTGGAGTGATTTTTCCTAAAACCATATTGATTTAAATTTAATATTTGGTGAGTATTTAAAAAATTGATTAACCTATTATAGACAATTTTCTCTAAAACTTTAGATATGCTAGGAAGAATAGATATTGGACGATAATTACTAATTTCATGCGAATCATCTTTTTTAAAGATCGGAATTACCTTCGCTATCTTAAGTAAATCTGGAAAAACACCTTGCAAAAAAGACTGATTAATAATATGGCTAAGTAGACTTGCAATAACATGTATTATTTGTTTTAAAAGTGATGTACTAATTCTATCACAAACCTTTTTAAAGCATGTTAACGTTAAAAAAATATCTTGATGTTTTGTAAAGATTAATTATTTGGTCTATCTTCTTTATATTGGTACATAAATGAAAAAAATCTATAGAGAAACATTGATGCAATCATAATTTTCATGTACCAATGTTTTCTGCTTATTGTCCGTTTTTACCGTACATAGCTTGCATACGACTTGTATAAATACGTGCGAATTCGCGGGCGCTGCGGACTGGCTGCATTGGCACGGCCAGGCACGCAAGAGTATGTGTCTATGCGCAAACTATGCGCAAACCAAAGTGCGGGCAAGTGTCACCGGGGCAATATGTACATCGTTTATAACGTTTATACAAAACAGTTTTAAAAAAAATACTCATTTGCAAAATAAACATACATCATTAACGTAGTAAACAGTGATGTCAATAGGAAAATATTGATTAAGTCGCAATTATGTGAATAAGTCATGTTAATATTACAGAACGTGCACGCAGTGTATGTTCGGCTGAAGCCATAACAAAAAACAACAATAAATTAGTTTTGTATTTGATCAGGAAGGCTTCCCCTTCGCAATGATATGAGTTTTGCATCAATTCAAAACACTTTTGATTCTTCGTGTGTCTACTTTAAGTCGGAATCGGTACAGCGAGGAATTTTCGTAATGCCATTTTGAGGGTTCTGATTTTTTAAATTTTGATTTATGATGTCACTTATTTTTTGATCTGGTGATATAGAGCTTCTTCTAAAGTAGATATTCATTGATTTTAAAAAATAACTTTATTTTCATTATTGCAAAGTTGAAACTTTGATTCGACAAGGTTATCAAAATTCAATGCTTGGAAACATTCGAAGTCATGATTATTATAACTTACAAAACGCTTAAATACAGCCCCGGCATAGCACCTGAAGAGCTCTCCGAACGCTGCTGAGATGTGTGACATCACAGTATGGACATGATTTGCACAAGCAGACGATTTCCCATGACATCTCACACATTTTCAGTGCCTGTGTTTTCATCTTCTCTTGAGTACTTTCTCTTACTTCACTACCGTCAGGCTAAATGTATAATCTATTGCCTCACTCTAAACCCCGCGCATGTTTTTATTTTGATGACAAATGCAGCGATACAAAAATAAACGAATCTGTCGCTTGTAAACAAAATAAGACGTCATTGTATATTCAGCTGCACACACCGCGGTATGTTCGGCGTTTCAAGAGGGAACGAATGCCGTCCTTAATATCATTCCGGGTTTTTTTTTTAATTTGAAAGTTTGATTTCTTTGATTGTTTATTAACCCCTATCCTGTGTATTTACAAGCAAACGATTTTAGTTATCAGAATCGGGTCATATCCCCTTTTGAATAGTTTGACATGCCATTACATTTATATACACTAAACTCATTATAATTTGACAAATAATAGCTTTGCAATTACGTTCATTGTTTATGGGATGTCGTCTGCTTGGGCAGTATTGGTCCATATAATGACGTCATTAAAATATCGCTATTTTTTCCGGCTAACCTCTCGTATATCCCAGCTGCTATGGAGGTAGTTGTATTTGTAATTTTATAAATCACCCGATGTAGTTGACCTAAAACTTGTACGACGGCCATCTGTTAGCTTACCAGTTTCTGGTGAAACCTGAGTTGACATATTTGTGATTTTCTTTGAATTTCACCTTTAATAAAGTCAGTGTAGGCCTACCTCAAGTCTTAAAATTACAAGTCTACTCCAAAACTACCTTACTTTCAATAGAAGCAGACAAATGAGACAAAAAAACAAAAAAAAAGTTTGAGCAAAGTCAGATAACTGATATTAAGAAAGTTATGAATTTTTGAAAATAGTATGTAAAACTATGGAAATCACTACACAAATTGCCAATTTGGTTATCAGTTTGTGACGTCGTGTGCTCACTATTTATCAATTGCTTTATATAGTTTAATCCCATTGATTTCCATTTTTATCCCCCAAAACTTGATGTCCCCATGCCTTTGCCCAGGTTATATGATTTGTATCATATTGCGTGCATGACATTTCACAAAATCTTTTATGAACTTTGAAGAATTGATACTATTTTCTGAATATTTACATTTTTCATGATTTAACTGGAAAAAATTACTCTATATTAGTGCGTCCACACACAAACATATTACTATCAATCTGACTTGGATGCTGGTGTGAAGAAATAAGAATTTTAGGGGGAAAATAGGAATTTTTTATAAATCAATTTGTTGTTGAATCATGCCTTTATTTCATATAAAAGGAATACATGTTTACATTCAATACCAGGTCCATGTTTCCTTTCAGGTAACCATGGCAGGTCGCACTACATATAAAATATATACAAACAATAATGCATTACAATTACAAATATATATCAATCATGCATAATAACAATTAGACATGTATATTAATCATGTATAGTTACAATCATTAATCGTGCCTGCATTTATCATGCATAGGTTGGCAACAATAAAACAAAAAAAATCAAGGGGATTATGATTTTCTGAGCATGTGGGTAAAGGCTCAAAGTAGGAAACGATGTAAGAAAATGTGAAATAGTTTGGAAAGTAGAGGGTACATCATGGTTTTTTTAAAGTTTTATTTTTAAAACCAGAACTCAAGTTTATCTTGAACCCTCGTCACGTCGCCCGAGGGGTTATATCAGGATGTAACGTCCCCTTGAACCTATAGAAACAGCGATGCCTCTCATAGCAGTTAATACATCTATAATATGCATTCGCGCGGGCATTGGTTCATGGCTTAATGAGCACAATTTCCCAAATACTAACTTTGATCTGCTAGTGTACACGTGATCAGACATTTATTTTGTCTAACGCGTAATTTGGATAATGACAGATCATTATTCAATTCTAATGACCAGTCATTATTCAATCATGTTATATAACATAATTTGATAAAACAAATTAAACATAATCTTATAAAAAAAACAATTAATACACATCATTTTACTCGGGCATTAGTAAAACTACCCTCACTTGGTACCTTCAAAGTAGTCCAAACACCCTCGGCTACCGCCTCGGGCGTGTTAGACTGTTCCAAAAGTCCCTTGTGTGGGTAGTTCTTACTAATGCCTTCACTGCTGTGTATTATTTGTATACTAACTACACGATCCGACATTTAAATTTAAAATGCCTAGAACATGGAGCTGGAGAAGAGTGCTGAATTCTTTGTTCATTTGGTGGGAACTTCCGGCCTTTACACCTGACATACCGTCAAAGTAATGATAAGGTACATTTGTCTTGTTATTTCCAAGTCGCGAAGAGAACGGCCAAAAACCGTAGAGGTCTATTTCATCACAAAGCTGTATGGCCATTGAAACCAAGTAGAAACCTGCAGAATAGAATAAATAAATAAGAAGTTGCATGTCAGCAAAATAAATTTAGATTATAATAATATTAATCCATGCAATAATGATGATAATTGGCTGATAATGATGGTAAATGAGATTTATCCAATATCCAGGTATCTTCTCCTAGCTCAGAGGTTGATTTTAACATTTTTTCACGCATCTCTGTCATCTGCCATTCTAGTACACATTTCTAGTGTCTTTCTACCTAAGGGTAGAGTTTCACGAAACTGTAATGAGTACAAGTTCGCCGTCAACCCATTTAGATGCGTGTAACACGTGATTCAATGGGAAGTCGGTGTTAAACCTTGTACCTATGACGGTTTCGTAAAACGGTGCCCAGATTGTTTATCTTCTAATGGAGCTCTCACACTCTGCCGTGTAGGCCTACCGTCCACCTGCCGGGCTGTTAAAAAACAACAGAGTCCAGAACGTTGGGTTTTGAGCGAACTTGTCCCCGGCCGCAAAAAAAAATTCATAAAATTAATCTTTTCACCGTTTCGTTGCCATCTTCTGGCCGTTTCCATACCAGGCCCATACCGGGTCTCGAACGTGTGCACCGGGTTTGTAGCAGCCACCTACCAGTCACTTAGCGTCCCCTCACCGCTCGGAGCGTCCTGTGAGCGAGTCCCCGGACTGCTGACGTCATGACAAGAAAAAGTAAAGCTCATCTGACGAAACCCCTCTATATATACCCAATAATTAGTGACAAACGGTGGCACACGGTGACAAAAGAAAATTTGTTGGTAATGGCACGTTCATATGACGCTACTGTGAAGGTAAGGACACGTTATGGACCCGTTATAGGACGTTATGGGAACGTCGAGGCGTTAACAGGATGTTACCCATGCGTTAGGGAGGCGGCGCCGTCAGAATCAGGCGGTACCGCTTTGGAAACACCCGTTGGCAGTCCGGTATGAACACTGTAATGAGGACGGTATGAATACGTTATGAAGACGGTGGCACGGTATCAACACGTTCATGACACGTTCACAACCCGCTTACAACCCGTTGCAGACGGTGGATTTGTTTTTGCCCGTTCATCACTGTTCTGTAACGGGTTATGAGCGTGGTGTGAACGTGTTCATACAGTGTGACCGTTTTCATAACGTATTCATACCGTCCTCATACCGTTCAACACCGTCCTCTTGCCGCTTACTTGCGGCCGGTGCCAGGCGGCCAAAGTTTTGAACATGCCCAAAACTTTCGCCGGGTCCCACCGGGTGTAAATAAGCGCCAACGCCCTATTAACGTGTTGCCCGCTTTGATAACGAACCACCGTGTGCCCTCGCCGTTCTCCATCGTCCGCAGACATTTTCGCGCACGGTGGCACACGGTAGGCCTACACGGCAGAGTGTGAGAGTCACTTTATTCCAATTGGTTCTTGGCTTCCTTCTTGGTCTATTATTCTTGATGTGTTGCTCAGTCAGTAGAGCGTCCGCCTCACAACCGGGAGGTCGTGGGTTCAAACCCCGACCGCGTCATACTAAAAGACGTTAAAAGACGGGAGTTGCTGCTACCTTGTTTGGCGTTCAACAATAAGGGGATAGAGAAACGTCGATCTGGCGCTGCTCAGTGGCTACCGGGCTCACGATTAACTGGGCAAAAAGAATTTCCATTTTCGGTTTAATAAAATTTGGAGTGGACTAAAAGAAGATGATTATTATTATTATTATTATCAATTTTTCCTTTAACAAAACCTTCAGGAACCTCTCATGTATTTTAATGTGACCAGAAGTTTTTCGCCTTTCTTTCTTTTACTAGTCAGATGCAATATTTCATGTTATAAGATGATGAAGCGGATCCTAATCAAATGATTGGTTGAGAGCGTACACGTGACCAGGAATTTATTTTGCCTAACACGTAATTTTGCTAATGACCGGTCATTAAAAATCATGTTATAAGACATCATTTTATAATACACATCATTTTGTTCGGGTATTAGTGAAATTACCCACACTCGTTACCTTCGAAACAGTCCAAACACCCTCGGCTATCGCCTCGGGCGTGTAAGACTGTTCCAAAGGTACCTTGTGCGGGTAATTCTTACTAATGCCCTCACTGCTCTGTATTATTTGTATACTATTCTCATCAGTTCACTGTACAGCCAAAGTTCACTTTTTTTGTATTACCAATATTGATGAACATGTTTTTATAATTTTATTGGCATGTTTTTAGCCCTCATGGTTATAAATGGAAGCAGAATAAAAAAATAAAAAAACAGAATTCAAATTAAAGGAAATCTATAATATATCCTTTGTGACAGTAAGTTTACCGACAATGCATTTAATTTAGCGGAGATCTCTATAGATATGTGTAATTAAACATAGAACAAACAAAAAAGGAAGGAAGAAGAAAGAGAAACAGAGAGACAAAAAAAAATTGTTTAAGGGGATTGAGTCTATTTTTATCTAAGACCATATTGTTTACATTTAAAAAAAAGACTTAATGAGACACAATTATTACCTTTTATAAGATGATGGCGTGGATCCTAATCAAATGATTGGTTGAAAGCGTACACGTGACCAGGCATTTATTTTGCCTAACGCGTAATCGCGCGTAATTTGGGTAATGACCGGTCATTATCCAATGGTAATGACCGGTCCTTTATCAAAATCATGTTAGAAAACATCATTTTATAAAACAAATAAAATATAATCTTATAAAACAAATAATACACATCATTTTTTTCGGGCATTAGTAGAATTACCCACACTTGGTACCTTCAAAACAGTCCAAACGCCCTCGGATATCGCCTCGGGCGTGTTAGACTGTTCCAAAGGTATCTCGTATGGGTAATTCTTACTAATGCCCTCACTGATGTGTATTATTTGTATAATTATTATTTATATGATTATTATTAATAGTGTCCTAAAAGCTTTTATCATATTATTATTATTACTGTTATTTTCATCACTATTATTATAATTACTATTATCATCATTATCGTTATTAAACGTATTATTATCAATTAGTCCTTTTAATATAATAATTGTTGTTATCATTATAATTATTTTGATTATCATTATCATTAATACTCATATTAATACTAATATCTTTATGATTATAAATATTATCAATATTATTGTCATTACCTGTAGAAGGATTTCGATCTATCACGCCTTTCTTCTTCCAGAAGTCACGGACAGAACTGAAGTGCTTTCCGTTCATGCACACAATTGTCGGTTTCTTTCCTTTAAAGGAACGGATCGCTCTTGCATCGTTAGAGTGTGACATACCAAAGCAGGGGATACTCAGCATACCGCCGTATTGTGACATGTCTTGGTTATACTGTTTGATGGATGCATTTTTCTTCAGTGCTCCATATCTACAGGGCAGGGGATTCGATATTTCAATAACAATGAAACCAGTTATCCTCATTTAAATTATACTACTACTCCTATCCCTCTATTACTACTACTACTACTACTACTACTTTTACCAATAAATAAATAAATCATTGTCAAAATCATTCCATAAATTGGGGTAAACAAAATTATTCCACATTTATGACCAACAGTGTATTTTTAATTTTGTTAAAACTATATTCAATTTAGTAAATTCTGTATTGATATGATTATTGTTAACATCCATTTCTTTATTATAGTATACTAGTTCCAAAGTGACCCCTTCAGTCTGTCCTGTTGGTCTGTTTTTATCCACGTACAGTATAAATAAATATAAATAAATATAAATAAATAAAATAAAATCTTACTTTTTGAAGTAGATACTTGGGTTCATCGTGTTATAATCACTTCTCATACCAGCGTCTTCTTTGAAAGGTGCCAATGGTGCCAAGTTGCATCTATAAAGAAAATGAATAACGACAATAACGACAACAACAATAACAACAGCATTAACAACAACGACATTGGCGACGTATAAGTGTGAAGTTGTTGTCGGGCAAATTCCGCACTTGGGCTACCTAGACCTCGTGTAATGAATGGGTTTTCAGAGTGGAATCACCTCTTAACCATTGTCTTTACCCTTGGAATACCTATAGTTGTCATGCTTTTGTTTTCGTTTAAAAAAGAAATAGAACTTCACCTCTAAAAGTTGGCAACGTTATATTTTTATGAACCTTTTTTTTTTGCATCTTAGTGTTCAAAACGAGCTAGGCCTATTAATCAATGCCAACATTTAATAACACATGTAATTTCGATCGATTCACCTCTGCCGGATAATGTCAAATATCATCATCATCAGCAGCAGTGATCTGTCAGTTGATGACAGGTTCAGTGACCCAATCAACATTCTATATCAAGTGTCTCTCCAAGTTCCTCGGTCTTGAGCCATCCGTTTAAACGTTTCATACCCTGTTGCTCCACATTCTGTGATTACATCGTCTAGAAAGCCTTTACGAGGTCTTCCCCTCTTCTTCTTTCCATGAATACGAGGTCTTCCCCTCTTCTTCTTTCCATGAATACGACCTTCTATGACTCATAAAAACCAAAACTAAAAATATTAACCTTACTAACCTAATAACAAAATCGTGTTCATCAATACGTCCTCCACAACCGCTGTGGAGTATTGAACCGCTGTTTCCAACGATTGCACACGAGGGATATCTCTTCTTCTGGGGTAGTCCGAATGGATCACTCTGAAAAAAAGAATAGACCCTATTTTTTTTAAATATATATGTATATAGATTTTATATATATAAGTGTATACATATGTGTGTGTGTGTATATTCATTCATAAATATATATTTCTACACCTGTATTTTTAGTGTACAACTCTTACCAATAAAGTTAAACCTTTCCAACTTCTATATCTATATTTATATTTATATATATACAACATAGCTGATATCACCGGTTGTTGAATTTAGGCAAGCTTTCGTCGTGGGGTGTACATCATTAATAGGCTGCCCTGGGTAAAAAGACGTAATTTTTCTGTTAAATGACTACCATCACTTTTTTCATTGGCCCCTCGAAAAAAAGTCTATAATTTCAAATTTACTTAACCCCACAAAATATAAGATTAAAATCTTACGGAATACATTCCAGGCAATGAAAGACCTTTACAGCAAGAAAAGTGAATTTTGAACTTAGAATCAAAATGATAAATTGCTGTATGGTCTGTTCTATTGAATGGAACAGAAACATAGGCATTAACCAAGGTGATGGAAAAGGAAATCGCATCTTTTGAAATTTATTAAAGATCAAATGAGGACATGCAGTAACCAGGAACATAAATAAACCCAAACTACTGCATGTTCAACAAACTCAAGATCAGAAAGCACTGCCAAAATGCTACTTTTAGTTTCTTGGTGCTTCTAAAGATTGAAGTTACGTAGAAGAAAGCATAATCTACCAGAATATATTTTACAATATTTTAAAATCTTTATCAATGCAACACAAAAATATCACTTTTAGATTGTTTGGTGCTTCCAAAGACTGATGCTACGAAGTAGGAAGTATACTATATCCAAAATGCAAAAATGACCATCTTTACCAATGCAACACCATTGTAGTTAAGTGGTACCTGAGCCACGTTTCACAAAACTTGTCATCAGCGACAAATGAAAGTCTTTGTTATAAGCTACTGAAATCCTTGCTTCTGATTGGTAGTCACCAGATTTGTCACTGTTTTTTGTCATTTGTCATTGCAAAAAGGCTTTGTGAAACGGGTCCCTGGTCATTAATGTCTCTAACATTAGGCTCACCTTCGGTAGTAGACGGTATAGTTCTGCTGACGTTCTTATTAATTTCCTGGATGATGCACGTACCTCGCAATTTTCCTGATGGAGAATAATTGCCGAACTTTCTTTTAATTCGGTCCGATGTGCCGCCAGCTCCTGTCTGAAATAAGGGAAAAGTACTTACAAAGGGTAAACCGTATCTATCGGGTGTATCTATAAAAAAACTTACCCAACTTTGGTAGCTTCTTATTGAAAAGTCAAAACCAATACGACTTTGGAATTGCTTTCTTGATGAAGAGTAACGTATTTTCTGTCCAATGATACCCTATTCATATTATAATAATTTCTGCTACGGGTGAATGAGCACTAGGGTCTTTGCAAAGTGTTGTTAACATCGCCTTGTCCCAAGTTTGGACTTTAGGGACCAGCCTACTAACTTCTTGTCTCATGATATCTAAGTTCTCTCTGCTCACTTGTCCACTGCGCCATTTCACACGCGTAAGGAGCATAAGGTGTTTATCCTGAATAGCGATCAAAACTCAAAGGTTACTAAACTCAAATGCAAGAAAGAAAATTTACGATGATAACTATATCAACGAAATTGACAACAGACTTTTATAACAAAGGCAACATCCCTGATAAACTTTATCCTTTTTGTATCACTTATGCCTGGATAACATTTGCCCCGGGCGCCGTACGATAAATTAGTGTACGATTTTTCGTGCGATTTTGGGGGCATCGTAGGAGGCTACGGGATACGATGTTTGTGTTTACATTATCTACGAGCATCGTGCCATTTCTTTTATTACATATTGCTCCGTTTAGTCTCATTTCACAACGCCCCCTATCGTCAGAGCATGGTCAGAGTCAGCAGCCTAACATGTTAGCCTATGGACGTTTTTTTAAAAAAATCGTTAAAAATTCATTTTTTTGTTTAATCGAAAAGCACATCCACCCCGACGTACGTTATCACTAGCTCTTATCTACAAAATGGACCTCTTGAATCATCTGAGAAGTAACTTACCCTATTCTGATTACTTCAATGAATGTCAAGATAACAATGGCTGCTTTTCCATCCAAAAATAAAACTAGTTTGCAATTAGAAATAGTCAATTTCTCGATAATTTCACAAAATATATTTGCCGCCGCATTCAATATGACGTCATTGACAGCTGATTGGCTAGTTTGGTAGTGACGTCGAACGAGCTTTGTTTGTGCTGCAGTGATCGAGCGAGCGAAAATGAGACAATCGGAGCAATATGGCCCTCGTGGGCAGACCGGGGCAAATCCGTACAGAGGCTGCAAGGAGATTGTACGGAAATCGTGCAATTTCAACGCAGTAGCTGTGCAATCTCCGCAGCCTCCGCACGGAAATCGTATCGAGCCCGTGCAGCTTCCGTGCAAAGGTTGCGCGGAGAAGGCGCGGTGGTCGTGCAGCCGCCGTGCCGTTTTTAAGTGTTTTTTGCCTCCATGTTTACCGAAAGATCGCGTGTTTGCTTCACGATCAGCGCGAGTCCTCCGCGCGATGCCCGTGCGGGGATTGTACAATGACACCTTCGACATATTTACGGACTACGGGTTTACGATTTTTCATTTTTTTTATAACTTTCTGCGAAAGAAAATCGTAAACGCCGTGGAGCCCCGCGGAGCCCGTGAATCCATACGAAAATTTCACGGCCGCCTCCTGCCTCCGTACGGAGGCCGCACGGAAAAGGGGATAAGGGCAGAATACGGGCTCCGTAGACTAATCGCAGGCCAAATGTAATCCAGGCATTACTGAGAAAGTTACCTTAAACAAGGGATGCGAATGAAGGCAAGATTGTAATAAGCATTTCTTTCAGTTAGAGTTGAGGTTAACACTTTTTTCTCCAACTGTCTAATAGTCAATGTAAATAAAGGAGTGATCGTTTTCGAATGAGATAACACACACATAATGGCTATTTACACACATTCATTGCTTCAGCCCGAACTTGGTCGAGAGGATTTTGACCATACTTTTTGAAAAGCCTGCTATTCAGTCATACTTGGCAGCACAATTATGAAAATGGTATAATTAGATGGGGTATTTGTTTCCCTTTACAATAAAATATGATTCAAGGTCATGATGATGATGACGATGATGGATGACAATTATATCTTTTCCATAAACATTATTTAAAAAAAAAACACTCACCTGAACATTTCTATATTCGTATAGTTTGCACTAATATTCCTATTGAGTATTTGCTCATATAGGAACAGTACTTCGTCGTTAATGTTCTCAAAGCTCCAAAGACTACTAAGGATAGATGTATTATTTCTATAATGTAAGCAGACAAAACCAAAACGAGTGTAAACTGATATCTTTTCATTCGTTACCATATTTAGGCCAATCGTGCGGCAACATTCTTAGTATGTGGGATATAAAGTGAATTAAATTTTCAATTCAAATTATCAATCGGGGGTACACTTAAAAAAAAGGATAAATGTGTACCCATTATTTACGAGAAGTAACGAGCGAACATCCATGACTTTTTTTTGGGGCGGGGGGGGGGGGGGGGGGGCTGGGGTTAAATACTACTCAATATTCTGTAAATAATGCTCTATCTAATTGGGGTAGATTTTTTACTCATTATTGTGTAAAGTGCTACCCAACAGACATCCATGTTCTTCGTTTACCCGGTATTTGTTAAAAGCAAAAATACACAATATGCCTCCCCCCCCCATGTTTTTTAGGATCTAAATTAAGGACATTAATAAATATTTTGGTTCATACGTATTATTTGCAGCTGCCGGTGAGAGGAGATGACTCCCTGAATCAGGAGGAGATGCTGTCGAGTTCTGAGCCAGAGAATCAAGACGATCACCATCGTAATCCCGGTCATCCAGTATGCGTGAGCAATTACTAATGATAACAATGATACATAAATAAATATGATATGATAACAATGATGATAATGATATTGATTAACAAATACAATTAATAATAATAATTAATGATAATTATAATAGCAGACACAACATTTTCCACCTTTTAAGCGATAAAATACACAGATTTTCGGAAGTCAACTCACTTCTTCAAGTGAAGAACGTACAATAAACAAGTATTAAGTAATAAACAGCAAGAGTTCTTCTTTATACGTGGGTATTCTTGAGTGTGTGTGTGTGTGCGTGTGTGAGCCTGTTAAAAGTGTAACTCTATTTTGCGGCCTGTATAACTTACTTATTTAGTATATTTTTCTTGAGTTGAGAATGTTAGCAGACATCCACTGAGTGAGTAGTGTGTGTGTGTGTGTGTGTGGGGCGGGGGGTGGGTGGGTGAGTATGTGTGTGGGTGGGTGGGCGGGGTGTTTGTGTGAGGGAGGGGGGCAGGTAGGGGGCAGGGAGGAACAGGCATTGTTCCAGTAAAAATTACCTCCATATTTGTTTAAGTTTTTTTAATTTTTTTATATAAGTGAATAACATTTACAATTGACATATATATTATGTTTAGGTACTTGTACGTTTACTTTGTTGCTAAGTTATTTATACTGCAAATAAGTTTTTGTTTAATTATGTTTATGTCAAAGCACTCAACATTGAACACGTTTATTTTATTCAATTGTATGTTATGGTTTGTATTATACATTTGGAGAAATAAAACAAAATTGCTTAAACAAAATATTTTAAAATAAGTGTAAGAAAAAAAGGTGCCTGGCTCTATAAAAAAAACCTACCATATGTCCTTTTTATTTAATTTCTGCAATGGTTGAAAAAACATACAAACATGATATACCGATTTAGAACATGATTTTGAACCAAGAGCTTTATTTATAATTTTCCATGTTGCTTTCATATTACCCTTATTGTTATTAATTAAAAAATAAATAATATTTATACCTAATTTTTAAATTTCATTTGTAAATTGATTTCTTAATGGTTTGTACACGTTAAGCCTGTATTCAGAGGGTGACTTAAAGGTACTTTATGTATAAACGCCATTTTTTCCTTATCTTTTTAAATAAATCTCTATTCATCCGTGGCTTATTCATACATTTACTTTTAATAAATATTTCTTGCAAGGGAAAGCATTCATCATATAAACGTAGAAATTTTGCCAAGAAAAAGTTGTAACTAGCATTAGGATTACTTAATTTTAAATTTCAATATACATTTTTCAAACGTTCATTAAATTTAATAATATTTCTTTTCATTCAGTATATGCTTTTTCTTCTTATTAATTCTATTGGAATAAGATAAACTAAAAAAAATTGAGAAAATGGTCACTTATATCAACCAAACCACACCACTAAATTTATTCTTTATATCATTTGTAAAAATATTATCCAATAATGTCACGGAATGATCAGTAATACGATAAGGGTTGTAAATAAGTGGGTACGTAAAAAAAGAAGTAAACAAATTCAAGAAGGAATTTGCATTTTGGGAAGAGACAGTTGATAACAAATTGATATTAAAATCTCCCATTTAATAAATACATTTATTTTTTCATTATTTACAATATTAAGAACAGAAGATAATTGATCCACAAAATGATTCAATAGATTGATTAGGCGGTCTATGTAGTGGTGAAGTGTGACGTCATCAAAAATCTATTTGAGAATTTCTCTATTTTTTCTTCATTTTCCGAAAGAGCATAAAAGATAATGTACAAATGTCGAAAATCAATTGAATATGTTAAGTATTGGCTGAGATATGACCATCTGAATAAAAAGATGTCCTATAGGAACTCAGTGTTATATGCTCTGGTTCACACCCATTAGGAGCCAGAGCATATGAGACTGAGTTCCTATAGAACATCTTTTTATTCAGATGGTCATATCTCAGCCAATACTTAACATATTCAATTGATTTTCGACATTTGTACATTATGTTTTATGCTCTTTCGGAAAATGAAGAAAAAATTGAGAAATTCTACAAATACATTTTTATGATGTCACAGCTTCAGTACTTTATAGACTACACCCAATATTACATTGTTATCAGATACATTTTCAATGTCAACAAATAAACTTTCAAATTAATCATTATTAATATTCAAAGCATCTCTTCGTTTATAAACTAAAGAGTCTCTCATATAGAACCAATACCTCCACCTCGCCTGCTTTGTCTACTGGAATGAATGAAATTATAACCTTCAACGTTGCACAGCCCCGTTGATGGGTTTTCAATCAACCAAGTCCCAGTGATCCCCAGGACAGAAAATTGAAAATCTAAAAAATATGCTTTGTCTACTGGTATTAATGAAATTATAACCTTCAACGTTGCACAGCCCCGTTGATGAGTTTTCATTCAACCAAGTCCCAGTGATCCCCAGGACAGAAAATTGAAAAACTAAACCAACTGCTTTTTCTACTGGTATTAATAAAATTATAACCTTCAACGTTGCACAGCCCCGTTGATGAGTTTTTATTCAACCAAGTCTCAGTGATCCCCAGAACAAACAAATTAAAATCTAAATTATTCAACAATGATGAAATGCCATTTATGTTTTTCAAAATACTTCTGCAATTAATATGCATAATTGAAAACTAATGGAATTTATTTCATCGACAGAAAGTTTTTCGTTTAATTCATCTTGTATGATAAAAGACCGACTTATCCCAAGGCCATTTTCCTTATCATTCATGGGTGAAAAGACATTTGATATTGCATTTAAATTTAAGCTATTGATTGCACTTTGAATCAACATACGGAGAAAAAAATATATGTGTTTGTCTTCATCAGCATATAAATTGGATAGAATTTATTGCACCATAAACTTCCATGGCTGCACAAAAAACGTTATCTGAGTAGGAAGAACCCCGATGTAGGGGTCCACCTGCAGAACCCCAATCACTTATATCTGGAAGATAAACCCGAGGGGAACAGGTGACGCCAAGTAATAATAATAACAATAATAACAATAATAATAATAATAAAAATAATAATAATAATAATAATTATTATAATTATACTACTACTAATAATAATATTAATGATAATAGTTATAATAATTAAATGAATGAAATCAATAATAAATGCCTAGGATGCATTAGTCTGTATAATCAACAATGCAACAACGCCACATTACAAATTAACCATTTGCAACTTGAATGTATCTAAATTTACATACGTTTACCTAGCGACGACCTAAAACATTTACCCGTTATATATGCGTATTGGTATATGGGGAAACCAAATACCGTAACTTGTAATGCATTCCGACAATTTAATGGAATAAAAGAGGTGACTGATATATGATATATAATTTTGATTACATCATGAAAATGGCTTGCTTACAACTTGAGTGACTATTTGTAAATAGACATTGATCAGACAACAACATGAGAGAATAATGACGCATTGCCCAATAAAATTTGCCCATAATATATTTATACGGTCCCATATATATACATATATGTATATATATATAAGCAAGTTTAGTAAAACTGCAATTTCTGACATTGCTCAACTGTGGGAGCAAATGTAGATATAGAGGTTGCAAAAGTTTAACTTTATCAGCAAGTGCTATACAGTCTGTTTCACCCAGCAACTAAATATATGTTATACAAGGCAATGTTAAATACACTGAAGTGCAGTCAGGCAATAATACAAAAGAGACATAATAAAACCCTAGTAATGGTGAATGCAAGAATACAACCATGGACCTACATGAAACAACAGTGGAGTTGGGGGCTTAAAGGTGAGGGGGAAAGGTTTAAAGGTCATGATGGTTGGGGGGGGGGGGGGGGTAACCATACTCAGAGAGTAGAAACTCTTTCTAATGTTTACATGTGGAAATGAGCTCAGTTCTAGAGTTCAGAATAGTGGATTTCACATCAGTGATGATGTGGTACTTTTCCCATAGGCAGAGGTTGCAGCGAGTCGTTTTTGGTGAGTACGGTTGGACATGTCGGATGATTTTCCATGGTAATTGTATAGGGGGTCCTGTCATGTATATATAAAAGTGCGAGAATTCGCAACTCTGACATGACAACGGGTGTTCCAGAATATGTAGGAGTAAAGTACAGATACGTCTCACGTTCCTAGACCATTTTTTTCACGCCTATATATATATATTTATATACACACACACACACACATGACACACACACACATGGCATGACATGTATATAATTATATGGGACCGCATTGAATGTCTACATAAATATATTCCATAGACATTCTTTATATATCTAGCATCACATTTTGTTCTTTCAAGTAATTTCTTATCACGTTTTTTGTTTGTCGTTTACTTATTCTTAAATTGTAAAAGTGAATTGCATGGCATTCTAACTAAATATGTAATCCATATACATTATTTATGGTCTCATTTGAAATTGTCTATATATTTACCCACCAGGATGAATTTTGTGTCTTTTCTGTAAACGCCCTTCTGGTGGTGGTAAACTTCCTCTGCGCTGTAGTTGATCCAAGATGACCAGAATATGACCTCTGCGCTGGAGTTGGCCCAAGATAACCAGAATGTGACCTCTGCGGTGTAGTTGACCCAAGATAACCAGAATGTGACCTCTGCGGTGTAGTTGACCCAAGATGACCAGAATGTGACCTCTGCGCTGTAGTTGACCCAAGATGACCAGAATGTGACCTCTGCGGTGTAGTTGACCCAAGATGACCAGAATATGACCTCTGCGCTGTAGTTGACCCAAGATGACCAGAATGTGACCTCTGCGGTGTAGCTGACCGAACATGACCGGAAGGTGATGTAATGGTCAAGTATACAATGACCAAGGAACATCCCACCATGGTCAGGTACCAGAGGACCACCCTAAGATTGAGGCTGGTCAACTTCTTCCATGTATTCATCACCTTGTAAAGTCAGAAAGCAGATTATATACACGTGACTATATTGATGGACACTCATCGTAATTTGTGACTGATATTATCATCAATCTACGGCGTGTAAATCAAACGAAAATGATATTCCCTATATATCTATAACGTGCAAAGTTCGGTTGGCTATCAACGAGTCCAATATCCAATCTTGCGATATTATATATGCACCTTCCCTTTCGTCCGCGTCTGACCTGATGTGCAGATATTTGTTTAAGCCCCTACTTATTTTAGCACATTGATATCGAGTGCAATGTCCAATGTTGCTATTTAATAATAATGTTCTTCCCTTTCGGCTGCGCTTTGCAGGATGTGAATAGACTGTTTAACCCTAATCCCATTGGGTTATTTTGATCACTTGAGTTCATTGGGGGGGGGGGGGGGGGGGGGGCTTTTTGGCCCTCCCCCTCGGATCTCGGCAAATAATGGACCAATTGACTTGAAAATTGGTACAGTCGTAAAAAAAGTTGGGTAGAATAAAAATGTAAAAAAAAAAAATTTGAATATGCAAATTTTTGACGAATTTTGGTAAAAAATTGGGATTATCATCTGAAATCAGGAGAAATGACAGAATTTATTCAGGTTTTCAGTAAAAATACTTTCAAATGATGTAGTTCATTCATATCCATGTTTTGATAGTAATATATATGATGATAAATATGAAGTTTCATATCTTTGTGTTTTTAGAAAAGCTCGATAATCAGGATATTTCATTATTTATTTTGTATTTCATTGTTTTTATTGTTTTGTTTTGATTTGTTTTTGTTTTTGTTTATTTTAGAAGAATTTGTCTTTGAAGTGTTTGAAATAAACTTATAACAAAGAAATAATCAAAATTATAATTCAATGTAACAATTATAACAGATCTGGAGTTTACATGGCATTGGATGTATGAATCACATAGAAACGTGTACAAAATCTGCAGTTTTTTGTGACGGTCAAGCGATTATCGACCTCTAAAATCAGTTCTACATGTCCGACCAGGGTGAATTTTATATCAAAATATGCGAGAAACTTGATAGAAAAAAGTCATGAAGTTTCAACGTGAAATTTTAATCGGTCTAGATGCACGGCAAAAAAAAAAACGACAGGGGGGGGGGGGCTAAAGCCCCCCCCAATGGGATTAGGGTTAATACTAATACGTTTATATGAACACACCTATTGAGGAAATGTTTCCATTGACAAATCGAAAGCATGCAAGAGGCTTGACATAGGCCTACATAGTCACAAGATTCAAGATTCAAATTCACGATTAATTTATTGCCATGTAAAAAAATACATAAAATTTGTCTTCGGACATTCGAAGGTGCATACACATTAAGAGGAATATATAAATACAAACGAAATTATTACATTTTAACATAACATTTAACAATCATCACCATTTTGAAGTAGGTCATAGCTAAATAGCTAATATAAGTTCATCACATTTAATATAGAGATGCCAAGTTGGGTTTTGCAGGTAAATCAAGTACTTTGTATAACCTAGGGTTCTGAAGAGAAACATAAATGGGTTGAATAAAGGTCTACGAGCCAGATTGTAGAACCATGGACAGGTAAGGGTCATTTGTACCAAAATGGTAAAATATTCATTTGAAAAAGAAATAGGCCTATATTTAATTCAAATCGAAAAGATTGCTCTTCAGGGACACTAGATGCATATAACATGTACGACAGGGATGATATTCTGAAAATGATTTTACCTCGTATGTTAGTAAAACGATGTTAATTGCCATAACAAATGAGTTGGGGGAATTAATTGGTAAATATTTGCGCAAAGCCGAGTACCTTCGCTTTTAGTTAAAAGGGACAAAGATCTCCACAATCACCAATGGTAAATGGTAGTTCCGAGCATTTTCATGGTGTTGTTATGGAAATTAATGAGAAAGTTGAGTTCTGGGAAGAGGTGAAACATAATTTGTGAGTGTTATCATTGTTATCATGCAAGTATGGAAGAACATCAGATAAAAAATGTTCCCTGAAAAGCATGGCTCTTCAAATGCTTTCATATTCTAAATATATGGCACCAAAAAATCGGGACGGATTTTTATGCCACATGTTCGTGTAGCTCCATATACATCTTTCTGTGTACAGTGCTTGTAACTTTACCAAGACTGAGCCATATTTCTTATCATTTTGATGATTCCAGAACCTTGCAGTACACACCAATACCTATATGCTAGATGATCAACCTTTTCTGATCAATGCCACAACGTTTCTTTTAAAATACAATTGCATGACCAGAACTCAACTTTATCTTTAAATCAAATTAAAACAATTGCTCATCAGGGACACTATGACAAGAAATGGCTGAATTGTTTGGACCAAACTTTTTATTTCACATGTGGGTGTAGTCCCATATACCCATTTCTGTGTGCAGTGCATAGGAATTTCAGCAACACTGGGTTAATTTCCCATCACCTTGATGATTTCAAACCTAACAGTATACAATCATGCTTATGTATACTAGACAAACAACCTTTCCCAATCGCTCCAAACAGTTTATTTTGCCATGTAATAGTTTGACCAGAATCTGCATCTAATTTCTTAATAGCTTTAATTCTAACACAATTTGGCCTTGAGCGGGTCGACATCCAATTAAGCTACAGTTGGATTTAACACTACACAGGCGCCCATTCACACAGGAAACACATAACAGCAACTCAATTAATATTTCAGATCCTCATATCATCCACTTATTATATCCTACCTACCTACCTACGCAAGGTATATTCATGCATGCTGCTCTATGCATAATCTACCTGGGGCATGCCAATATAATATATACTAAAGGTTTAAATGTGCAGAAGCACGTCAATAATCAAAGAGCCTTTTTTTGATTGAAACAGCTATAATGAACAATACAATACTATTGGGTTTACCAATTTAAATGGGCACTCCCATTTTTTGCAAATATTTACGGTTAACCCCGATCTTGACAAAATTATCGCATTATAACTAGCACCACATAAACAAAATGAACGTAATATCTTACCTCTGTCAGCACGTTAACATGAATTATCTTTACAAATCTCGCGACGCAGCATTCATTGTTGAGATATATCAACGGTAGATTTGCAATTTACACCCTTGTACCAGAAGCGTCACCATTGGCAACAAAACTGAAAGCAATTATTGAAATGATTTTTTAACAGGAGACCGTTGCAATCGAGTGCGTGACAAAGCGAAAGGCTCACCCATTGTCTAAACATATCGGCACAAAGAATCATACAGGAATCCGGTATCGATCGTCAACATGAATATGAAACCAGTTAGAAGTGATTACTTAGTGACGTCACTGCAGTACAACAGTGAAGTATCCACATATAGGTAGGCATATCAATGTAATCAGTCGTATATAGGCATGTTTCTAATTATAGCCACAAAGCAGAGGAGCTGAGGTAGCTAAGATGTATCCATTTGCATAGAGTAACGTGTGTGACAGGTAAGGTTGGGTTGGGGTTATGAATATTTTGTAAAAACATGCCTCTACTATACTGAATAAATTATGCCTACCGTTTATCTAGGCATACTAGGGACTTTTAGATAGAGTGGAAGAGAACACGACGAACGCCGACTGATCATGCGTGTCAACGTACTTAACTGCTCATGTTGACTACAATTAGAAATCTTTTAGATTGCACTCGACGATATACATGCATGCAGGAAGTAACACTATGAACATCACGGACAAAGAAAGATGACAAAATATACAGTTCCTCATTCTACCCTCAACAAAAGAACATCCCTTCACTGCTATTATGTAAAAATGTGTAGAACAGGTAAATATATGCATGTGACACCTGTTCTACACATTTTTACATAAACAGGGAATGGATGTTCCTTTGTCTACCTGAGGAACTGTATATTTTATGCGCACGCGGCATACTAGTACCTTGAGCATGTAAAGGCACTATATAAATATCAATATGTATGTATGTATGTACTAGATTTAGGAAAATCAAGGTTGACGCATTCTCGATCGCCGACTGAGACGACGTAACGCATGCGCAGTGCCTTAAAATGACGTCACACGTTGCAGTCAAAGCTGTTGACGTGCAAATCTAAAAGTCCCTAATAGCGCATGAAGCATAACATGGATTTGCGCCCCCTCTATAATTTATCAGCCTGAAAATACACATCAATTTCTTTCGCTTAATCAAATAGTTATGGCACTACGTGATGATACATCGCGGCACTAATGCCTATTGCAGGCGCGGATCCAGGATTTTCCAATAGGGGGGGGGGGGGGGGGGCCGGAAATTTGAAAATTGCGCAGACCGTTTTTTCAAGGTCATTTTAGAAGCACCATACCGGTACAATTTTTGACATTTTTATCTCTGGGGGGGGGGGGGGGGGGGGGGGGGGGGGGGGGGGGGTTATAGCCTCTTGCCCGAAAAAGTAATTTTCTGGTTTCACAATTCGGCTAGTGAGCGAAGCGAGCGAGCAACAATTTAAGCGTAATATGTATATTGTGAAAGTGTTATTTATCACCAAAATAATCGAGAAAAGATATCAAAAACTCATATTCGGGCAGCTCGCTGTCCCCCCCCCCCATTACGCGCGAAGCGCGGAAGCTTTGACCTTTCATTAATTATTAGAGAAAAAAGACGACTTGTTGTACAATTCTGGACTCGGATTCCTTGTCTGATTTCAGTTTACCCCCTCCCGCGCGAATCGCGGAAGCTTTGACGTTTCATTAAATTATTAGAGAAAGAAGACGATTCGTTGTAACATTCTCGACTCGTAATCCTTGTTTGAAGGCAGTTCCCCCCCCCCCCTCTCGCGCGAAGCGTGGAAGCTTTGACATTTCATTAAATTATCAGAGAAAGAAGACGATTCTCGACTCTTAATCCTTGTCTGAATTCAATTTCCTCCCACCCGCGCGAAGCGCGGAAGCTTTGCCCTTTCATTAATTA